AGAATATTACCATAAAAGATTGGATGTGAAATACCTGAACGTGTAAGATGTCTGCATGTTCATTTATATTTACGAATGATGTCCTTGTACCGATGATAAAATTTAGTAAATGTTTTGACTAGTTAGTGATATCGAAAACTCTGGTGTAATAATTTCTCAGTAATACAAAGGTTTCTTTCGTTAAAATCAAATACGTTGTTACATACACGAGCGAAGTCTGCTACCATTGGAACTATGATAATCTTCAGATATGAGTTTAGGAAATTTATGTTGACTTACTCTCCTTTGGTGATCATTGATCTGTATTGATCTAATTTTTTTATAATCTTTAGCAACCAAATCATAAAAGACTTCAGCTAGATTCGGCATAACATTTTGAAATTAAGTTTTTCGATGCTGTTTTCTTGATGAGGCCTTCCAGCACTGTTGTTCGTGTGCTAATGATATGTAGACAAATAAACTCATCATATATACCAGGACTGAAATTTTGTACTTGCGCCAGACGCGCGAATCAACAAAATTTAAAAAGGCCAAATAACGTACGAAGTTGAAGAGCATTGAGGACCAAAAATTCCTAAAAACTTTGCCAAATACAGCTAAGGTAATCTATTCCTGAGGTAGAAAGCCTTAGTATTTCAAAAATTCAAAGTTTTGTAAACAGTTAATTTATAATTATGACCATATCAATGATAATTCATGTCAACACAGAAGTGCTGACTACTGGGCTGGTGATACCCTCGGGGAATAAAAACTCCACCAGCAGTGGCATCGTCCCAGTGGTTGTAAATAAACTCATCATAGATACCAGGATTGAAATTTTGTACTTGCGCCAGACGCGCGTTTCGTCTACAAAAGACTCATCAGTGATGCTCGAATAAAACAAAGTTAAAAAGGCCAAATAACGTACGAAGTTGAAGAGCATTGAGGACCAAAAATTCCTAAAAGTTTTGCCAAACACAGCTAAGGTAATCTATTCCTGAGGTAGAAAAGCCTTAGTATTTCAAAAAATCAAAATTTTGTAAACAGTTAATTTATGATTATGACCATGTCAATGATAATTCATGTCAACACAGAAGTGCTGATTACTGGGCTGGTGATACCCTCGGGGAATAAAAACTCCACCAGCAGTGGCATCGACCCAGTGGTTGTAAATAAACTCATCATAAATACCAAAACGCACGTCTCGAGTAAACAATTACAAGCCTGGTCTTTGATGAGGGTTTTCAAACATTGTGTAAACCCCCTGCTGGAGGTCGATTCTAGCACAAGGTTACCATCATTCTAGTAGTAAGCGCTTTTGTGCTGGCATGTTATTTCATTGATGTGTCATTTTCTGTTAAGTGACTGTTAATGAAATGGTTAACTCATTGGAAACAATAAGGTTTTTTCTCTATTTCTTTTTTATTTGATAATGAACCATGCGAAATTACATAATACAGTATTAGGCAAAATATATAAATGTTACGCAACACTTGTAGAATTGATCAAGTCATAAGGATATATGGAAATATATCTATACATCATAATTGATTTGGTTAATAAAATGCTGCTTCAACTAAATGACCCTTCTGATTTACGTTAACTTTTTGTGCATGGATTTAAGTATTGTATTCCACTCTCTGTTTGGGTAATGTGTTTTTACATCTGTATTTGATTAATATAGTATTTAAATACTAACAAAATATTTTTTACTGTTTTACTATTAACAAAAACCTCAGACACACCAAAAATATTTTCTTTTTACCAAAAGTAATTTATCATCCAACTTATCATGGATAGCCACAAATTTGTACAATATTTAAAAGTGTTAATGTTTGTTGTTTTGCATCATAATGAGCATATGTGCTTTCACTGCCTGCGAATTTTATGTTTTCAGGTGTACATGACTTATAAGATGCAAAAAGAATAAAAACTTAATTGTTTGTAAATATGTTTAGAAGCAAATTTCTGCTAACTTTTAGTTAATTTTTACTGTATAAAGTTTTACTTTGTCTTTCTTAATAAAAATACAGTTGTCTCTATTATTCTCTCTTATAATTTAAATTTACTGAAAATTGTCTCTAAGTATCTCAACTTTTAATGAAATTGAAAGAATTTGCTTTGTTTCATCTGTTATTTATGTAATGTTAACAGCTATTTATTTTTTGTATATCATCAACATTCCTTGTCCTATTTAAAGGCACTTCTTATGCATAATACCTCATCATTTGAGTGTAAGCCAACGAAACAACTATAAATACCTCTTTGAAAGCTGATGTATTGAGGTTTTTTCCATAGGAACCTTTCAATATTGATTCATAATATTTCAATGGTTTTATTTACCCCACGATGGTGCCATTTGACCCTTTCTTGCTTTAATATTTATCTCAACTTCTTATTGAATGTTTAAAAGCATATTATAATTATGTATATGTTATCATAAAACTGGAATAGGAGTATGTTATAAGAATAGATATTTGGGTTTTTTTCTACATGTCTAATGTTATACTATTTACAATGTCAGTGATTATTTGATTTGACGATAAAATGAATACTAAATATGTGTATGCAAATTGTACTGCATCCTGTTAAGCTGTCAAATTAACATATACACTGTCTCATACAAATGTATGTACATGTAATGTATTGTGTTTCCTTTATATCATAATGTGTTCATACCATTTATGGAAAACCCTTATCATTCGTAGGATGAAAATAGAAAGAAGATAACAACAGCGATATCAAAATTAAGTCAAAAGAGTGAAGAATAAAAACGATAAGACAAACAACAATATGAACAAAAAAAAAGTTGGGATATACGCCAATGAGACAGCAACCAATCACACAAAAACCAAGGAGTTCAGCATACGGTTTCTAACAATAGAAAAGGGTCTGTACAAAATATCTAGCTCTCATTTGCCTTAGAAAAGTTGACAGAGACTGTAAACCAAATTCTCTAAAATATAAACAAAAACCATAAAGATATAATTGAAAGAAAACCATTAAAAATGTCCTGACTTGGGACGGTCACAACATTATATGGCGAATTTAATGACATCTTAACACTCCTGTTTGTCAATCTCTATCGGTGGAATAACAAAGGATACATAAAAGAGCATACAATAGCAATCCTAACAGAAATAGAACTTAAAAGGGGATGATACTAAAGGACAATTCAAAATCATTTAAGGAAGATATACAATTTGAAAAAAAAATGAAAAAAATTACAAACGAAAAATGACCAACAGGTTATAAAAAACACTACACAGAAAACAAAATTAAAGCGACAGTAATTTACCGATGTTCAAATCTCGTATATCGAATAAGAAGAGAAAAAAAAAAACAAGGAAATGAACAAATTCTGAGGGAATCGCATGAACTCCAAAAAAGAGTGAGACAAGGTGTATCGATAAATTAAGCGTCTCCTGCTATACATGCATCACCAGCCATGCGAATCCACATATAGTCAAAATATCATAATCAGGAATAGGACGCAATCGGTAAAATTACAGATCAACTGGAATCTAAAGATCAAAGACCGCAAAAAAACATTTCGCTTGTGAGTTTAGATACTGTATCGGAAAACCAATTCGTGATAGTGACTGTAATTTCTGTAGTGTCGATTTCAGTCGTTCTTTCTAGTAATCCTGTTGAAACACTTTTTGTGTTTGGAGCATACGCCTACTAATAAAGTCTGTATTATATGAACATGCCCGAGTGTAACGTATTAGAGAGTATGTTAATGCAGAGAAATGGAAAGTTGAAAACATCACGTTTGTCAAATATTCTAGTTTGAAGTCGTCCATCTATGTCAATATCGAGGAAAAGATAGTGATTTCGAATGTTTTGGTGTGTTTTATGGAGCTAGGACAGGTTTACCAACATTTGGGTCTTTGAAGATAAAATTTTGCATAAGTGTTCATGCACCCATCTTTTTATTCTTATTCGACCTCACAGTCTTAGTATAAGTTGTGATTTTTCCAAAAATGATTAAAGTTAGGTGAACGCAGATAGAACTAAGATATAATGAGTAAGTTTTATCAAAGGTAAAAATATGTTGAACACCCAAGTCCGCTTGATGGGCGCCATTGAAACGACTGATGAATGGACTGTAACTATTCTGGTGAAAACAGATCTCTCAAATAAAAAGAATAAAAAGGGCAAATAACACGGTTATTGACTTTATCAAAATATAATATATAAAAGTTATTTCTGTTCACGATAAATAGTGCTTTAGAAAAAGACTGGAAAGAAGTAAAATCACTCATGCTGTTTTATTGCTGTATAATCAATGGAGGCTGTCATGCGATGAAGCAATCAAAGAAAGCAGTACTAGGTTGGCATCTGTACAGATGATCGAAGACAGTATGAATTAATGATTGATTGATTGGTGCTTGCTTAATGTCCAGTTGAAAATATTCAATGCATATTAAGAACAAAAACAATTTAGCAGGTAGGTTTTGCAAGGTATATCGATCGGGAGAAAGGACGAATTTTTTTTACCGTAACTTGAAAATGAGGGTATGTTTTGATTGGGACAGTTTACTATAAACCAGACCACCTTAGAATATCTCAGATAGTTGTCACAATAGGATTTGGATGTGCAGACAGTGCGGCACAACACACGAGGCATCGGATTTTTTATCCCCATTCCGACAGGACGTGACTGCGTAACTATGTATTCCACAAACCTTTGGGTAACAATCGAATAAAAACTATAATAATCTCTTTTCAGCTCACTCAACCGAGATGTCCTTTTTTAAATTCATTCATTTATTAGTTTCTACATTTATTTTAATTATTCTATTTATCTATCTATTTATTGCTTTATGCATTTAAAATTTCCAGTATTCAGAACATCAGATGACATTATGTCATAGTTCTATCCAGATAATTATGAGGTGCAACAGCATAATTATGTGTTATAAATTTGAAAATTTAAGAGAAATTTTGCAATCGCATGCATATGCCACAAAAAGAGGAATAAATCATGGTTTCATGTTATTGAGTTTAAAGCAAGATGATTCATCAGCACTTTTATTTTTTGGTAAACAAGTCAAATAAAACTGTAATACAGAAAAAGAATCTGTAATAGAAATTCGGTCTTTAATTCTCTTCCAACACTTTCTCCTGTTGAAATATCCATATTAGAAAATGTAATGACAAATCCAATATACGATTTCTTCAATGTTAATGGCACTTTAAACTGTGTTCAGCATTTTGAGACAATAAATTAAGCAAAGCGCTTTGTGTAATTTTGCCTTTCATATACGCTACTTATCACAGACGTGTAGTTTGTAACTTTGTAAAAGTTACACAGAAGATGAGACATAATAACTTGAATTAAATCACATCAAAATAATTGGTATTAAGCATGACAGTACACTTAAAACATACATAAGCCAAGCACTGACACCATCGGATATAAAACTGTGTGCGCGTGAATGTGGTAGGCATTCACACACGCAAGTATTACCTACACAACTGTGACACACGCATGGTCTAATATTTTTGTTTTTGAACATTCGTTGTAGTTTCTCGAATTCCTCTAATAGTGTCACTTCACTCCCCTTATCTGTATGGCTTACTAACGAGTCCCAAAAACTAGTCGGTGTGTCATCATCGTCCCAGTTTGTATTTGTATTTGTATTTGTATCTTGTGTTTGCTCTTCACTAGTAACAGGAGGAGGAGGTGGACTGTAATTTTTTGTTTTATAGTTATCTCCAGTGATTAAGGAATCACCTTCGTCAATGTCATCGTACCCAATTGCAATATCTGCACATCCATAAAATTGTTCTTGATTCCCACATCCCAAGCATCCTCTACCACTTGAATCTACGCCCCAGCTATTTCCCGCATTGTATTTCCATTGAAATGTGCAGTCACGACACTTTACATTTTCTGGGAGAAGGAGTTTGACGACTAAAGTTTGGTAGCCATTTTTGTTCGGGATATAATACCTATTGCCACTTCCGTCTGCAAGTTCCAAGACATAATTATCTAGACACCGTTGTGTTGTTTTCTGCAGTGGATCATTTCTTGGACATAATTTGAATTGGAAATAACCTTTGTGACTTGCAGTAAGTTCAACTGTTACTGTAATTTCTTCTCCTGGGTCGTATGTTCTTACAATAATGCCATTTGCATATTTACCACCTTCTTCATTGTCACGTGGGCCTGGCCAAGGATCTCCACACACTCCGCACTTGCCATTGCTCATTTCATATTGCACCTTAAAATAAACACGATATTTTGTCATGATAAAAGACATATCTATAGCATGCAAAATCTTGCATGTGATCGTTAGCTATGCATTAGCAACTTTGACAAAGGCGAGTTATTACTTTTCTTTTTAAATACTAGTTATGTGAATTTTCTCTGTTGCATTTTCATAAGTTATATCTGCTTGAGTGTACTTTTCATATACCTGCCTTAAAGGAACCTAGTCCGTGTTTTTATTGTTAACGTTGTGGACGATTTAGAGCTAGTTATAGTCTATTGTGGTTGACTGTATGTTGGACTCTAAATATCTTTCGATCATTTGTGTCGTCGGGTTCTGTCTCAATAATTTTTATGTATTAAAGTAAACTAAATAGAACATTATAGAATTAGAAGAAGCGAGAAAAAAATAAAAACAGTCTGAAATATACAAAATGATTTTTCATGCGTTAAACTTGTCAAATTTGTTTAGAGAATTTAACATGCTTTAAAAACTATCATAATGACAAAAGTTGCAGTACATATGGACAGGATGTGTGATCGCCTTTTTTTGAATCTCTGAATATTTCTTATCTACCAGCAAAAAATTATTTACTTTTCCTGAGCATACATGTTCGTCCATGTTTTAAAGGGGTTCGTGTTGCACAATTTTGAGTTTACTATTAAGTGTTTGATGGACCTGTTCGTCTTTTGTTTTCTTTTTGACGATTTTCGACTATGTTTTTTTGATTGATTACCTTCGTGCTATCCTTTTTCCCTTTTGACCTTTTTACCTTAATCTCAAATTAGTACTTCCTCTATTCCACAACATTATTTGCTTTTTATCCCCCTCCCCTTTTCGGTCTCGCATCAACCTAATCTACTTTGATTTTATTCGAACGTCACTGATGAGTCTTTTGTACACGAAAAGCGCGTCTGGCGTACATAATTATAAACCTTGTATCTTTAATGAGATTTTATATACATGTGTAATATTTTTACATAATTCTAAGAGAGTTGTAAAGAATTGGTTATATGTCATCTGTAGTGGTATTAGTGGTAATTGCATTGAAATCTTTCAAATGCTCGAATTTAACATTCTGTATTTAGAAAATCTATTTTGGAGACCACATACTAGTTTTATGAAAACTTATGTTTTCAATATAATATCACTAATACAAAACAACAGATAAAGTTCACCCGCTTATAAAAATATACTCGGATCAGGATAAATACAATACCATACAGAGAAATCTGAATTTTAATTGACTCCGGAATCTACAGACTATATTGGTAGAATCGAACAATTTATGCCTTTATATTTTATTAAGGGGGTTTTAAACAGTCTGGCTCGTCTATAAGTATACAAGAAATAGTTTCCTTTCAAGAAACAGTTGAATACAATGATGAACATTTTAATTCTGAAGTCAAAACTCTTTCAAAACTATTGAAACGTGCTGTTTGCAGATTATCTATATACTTTTTTATATTCTTTCGTTTTCTTAATTGTTAATTCCTTGCCACAGTAAAAATATCTTGGTGGTATAAGTTCGGACTTTGGTCAACTAAATAACCTGTGACTTTTCTCATATTTGTTAATAGCATGGCGAATGGAATTGTGTATCTTACTTGAGCTCCACCACAATAAAGTTGATTATCATTGTAATTTGGTGGATTTTTATATCCATATCGCCACATACTGGATCTGGATGGCGGATCAACCAGTCGACCATGTCCTTCCACTTCACTGAACCACTTCGAAATGGCCACATATAATATGTAGATGTAATATTTCATTTTCAATCTAAACAAAATAAATCAATTTCAAGCGTAAATTAGAGTCATTCATCAGTCATACAAAACCATACATATAGTTTATGTTAAAAAAAGTTTAATTTCGTTATGCATAAAGTAAAAACATATCTAAGCGTACTTTAGTCGCTCGTCGATCATACAAAACCATGCATTTGGTGTAAGTCTTAAAAACAAAGGTTTAAATTTGTGATGATAATAAAAAGCAAAAACCTATCTACAAGACACATGGTGTAATCATGTAACATGACAGAATGAAATGACAATGTATCATTAATGTTTATGTATCGCAGTTAATTCTCTTTTTATCAAGCGGTTTCTCTTGTTAATGCTGTCAACTTTAACGATTGTTTTGAAATTTGATCATTCAACAAAATATCTTCGATTGGTTCATCTCTCCTACAGTCACATGATAAATGGATTCAATTTCTGTGTTTGAAATGACCAATTTGGGTTCTGCTGGTTATTACACGTTGTTTCGCAAGCGAGGATATCTCCAGTCTAATTGTCAGCACTCTTGTACTGTGCTGACATGAGCATCATAGATGTTGTTACTTTCTGTGATTTACTGTTCTTAAATTATCAAATCATTCTATTTTTCTAACCGGAGACATAGTTGGCCTTATCCAGGTTAAACATAACCTTTGGAACATTTAGTTCGTAATGCTCTTCAATGCCTGTTTAATTAAGAACCATAAGCATTCTTCTTTTAAGACTAACAGAATCATATTTTTCAGCTTATTTACCATAATTTGATATATTCTTGCTACTACTATCACAATATAATTATAAATTTCTATTATATAATAATACTAAATATAAAATAAAGATCACGTTTACTCCGACGAGTGAGTGAATTACAACTGATTTGAATTTTAATCAGACTGTTATCTTTGGGAGCAGTTTGGGAACAGTTCAAATGGTAGTACCACCTCTATTTCTTAGGAATGGCACATATAAAGAGCCAATAAGAGTGTGTTAGTAATAGCAAAAACGCGTTAAATTAAGGAAAATAGGCGCATGTAATCTTTCTTTTATACAAGTTTTTATATGCTGCTCTATTCTAAACTCGGTGCTTTAATAACTAGAAAGTAGAATATATTATATAAACAATTATTCATAATTATTCATAACAAACTTTGACACGGAGTTTGGTTATTTATATTTTTTGTAACGGCGATATGTTACAAAATATGTAATCATATATGGAAATGCACAAGCATCATTAAATGACCAAAGACTTCATTTCAGAAAAGATGTTTTTACGTTTCATCAAACAAAACCCCTAAATATTTTTGAAAATAAAGATGTTTGAAACTCTTAGTGCCTATGAAATAAAGCTACACAAGTTCAAGTTAAGATGCAGCTTCATGATTTTCATAGGTAGATAATTTTCGCCCCTTTTTCGAGGCGTATATATTTCTGATTTTGTCATTTTGGTGAAGAGTCGGGTATTTCCTTTTTATAGCGGTTTTACTTTTAAACACTCACTTGGTGACTATCTACGGTAAAGGGCTATTACAAGGTCTGCCATGAACGACTTGCATTTTGATATAACTTATATATTGATTGTTTGGTATTATTTTTTTTAAAGATTTTTACTATCGTTTTGTTTCATGGCATTCAAGTACCCGATATGGTCTCCTCATGTTTGTACACTTTGGATTAAAAACAAATGCTATTGATTTTTACTAAAATTTACAAATTCGAGTAAAGAAATGTAATTTATTTGCATGACATTTCATTCATACAAAAAAATTTACGAAGACACTGTTGACTTTTCCAAAATTTTTACGACTTGCACACGGAAAGGTTAAAGGAATCAACACAAAACAAGGTGAGTAACATATCCATTTAAGGAATGACTGTAATATTTTTTCTGTCTATGAAGAAATAACATAAAAAAAATGAAGTGCACACTGAATAACCCGCGTAGCGGGTTAATTATTTAAATGTGCACCACATTTTTTATGTTATTTCGAATAGACAGAACAAATATTACAGTCATTCCTTATAATTTAATTTTGGATTCCATTTTAAGGAAAATTATGAGTCATTCCTTATAATTTATTTTAGCCATTTTCAAGAAGTAAATCATTAAAAAGACGTTGATGACGTCACGGTCACATGACAAAATTATGTCTATGAACTGATAGACAAAAATCTTTCAGCCAATTAGAAGACGTGTTACATCCAAAATTAAAAATGGAATTTTAAATTAAATTGTAATATTTTTTCTGACTATTCAAAATAACATAAAAATGTGGTGCACATTTTAAATAACCCGCGTAATTCAGTGTGCACCTCATCTTCATAGACAGAAAAAATATTACAGTCATTCCTTAATTAATGAAATTACATATCTGACAGGTTTGAAGAATTTTATCGTTTTATTAATATTAGCTACAGTCACTTGATATAACATAAACATAGTAGATACGTTTTTTTGTCAAGTCAAAACACCAGATAATTACTGATTTTAGAGTTATCATTATTAAAAAAAGAACCATTTGGCTTGTATAGGGAACTACTTTAATATAATCATGTGTCTTTTGTAACAAATTATATGTGATAAACAACTGTTTACAAGGAAGGAGGCATTTTGATGTGGTCATAATCGAATAGATATAAAACTGATTCTCCATAATACTGTCCTAATGGCAAATGTCCACCTTGGGGCATATTTTGACATTAATAGTGTGTCCATGGCCTCGCTTATAAATATGCTAAACAAATTCTTATATGACAGGAACTTTAGTTTATTCTAAAGGGGTGATGGTTTACCTCGTTTTTATCTACTAGAAATTGTATTTTTTTCAGTTAGCAATTATAGCAAAAATGACGAATTCGAAATTGGTTTAACATCAGATGTGTAAAGCTGAATAACCATACCGTATTTTGATATTCCAAAATTTAAAAGCTTAACTCCAACCAATGCCCAAAATACATTCTTAATCTTCGGAATTTAGTTTATGTAAAGTACATGAATTTCTCTCTGCCTTCAAAACAGCTGGCAAATAATTGACATTTCAAAATATTTTAAAAGACGTCCATGTTATTATAAAATAAACAAAATTTAACAATTGATTGGTAAATTTCGTGTCAGAAATGTAAAGTTTGTTTTTCAATAATAAAATTATCTCATATAACGCACATACCAGTATGCAAAAAAATGTTCCTACAAAACAAGGGGAATATAGGTTCAATTTAGCAGATTTTCAATCTAAGGTATAAAAAAATGTTTACATACATTATTTAAAAGAATGATTTTTTTTTCAATTTAGTACTATGATATTTAAGTATAAGTGTTGAAATGTATAAATATCATAATCATAATCAGTTGAACTTATTACATCGCAAAGTAAATTTCCATTTCAATCAGATTTATGATTTTTTTTATAAATTTGTATAAAATAAGAGATAAAATGTATGTAATGCAATGCCTTTTCTCCCCAACAAAATCAGTATTTGAAAACGTGAAAATGTGTAATTTCTGATTTACTTGTAATGAAGTGTTGGTTATTAAAAATGCATATTTGATTTTTTTTTCTTTAGGAAATCCTCTAAACAAATGTATAATTAAAAAAACAAATAGATATAATGTAATGATTCTTGACATTTTCCTCTCTCTATTCAGATAAACATGTGATATCTGTTCTTTATTTTCACTCTTTCGGCTTATAATGCACATGTAGAAATCGACTACAAAAACACTTACAGAAGACTTATCTTAGCGATATTTTGACATTTTGACTCAGACTGTTTATGACGTATTTACACTAAATCCATTGGATGTGTACAAATTGAAATTTTAGTCTGGGGAAACATGGTTTATTTATTAGTTGAAATGGGTTGTAGCTATGAGAAACTGCGAATACTCTTAGATCGGTACCTTGAGGTATTTTTTGTTGTTGTCTTTTTGCTATTTTTACTTAGTGTCGATATGATGAGGCAAGCCTTTTCTAACCCATCTATATAGGGTTTTAATTTGTTGTTGTGCTGTTACACCACTGTTATATGGAGGGTTGAGTGCCCATTAGCATGTTTAAATCCGCAATATTCTTTATGTACCTGTCACAAGTCAGCAGCATGTTATCAACTTGTTGTCGAAGGTCGCTGTCTACTAATTGTTTTTTATTTGCCGTTTTTAGCATACATTAGTAATTGCTTTTCTCATATGAATTGTTAAACATTTTGTTATGCCTGGATCTTTTATAGCTTACTATACGGTATGGGGTTTTATTATTGTTAAAGGCCTTACAGATCCATATTGTTGTTAACATCCTCGTCTTTTTGTCTTTGGTGGAAAGCTAATTGTCTTATTGGCAATCATACGTATCACATCTCCCTATTTCCATAAGCAGTAACGTTACATCTATTCAAAAGTGAAGACCCTTTGAACGATTTGAATAATCAAACAAAATAATTGTCTTTAGAATTGTGATTTACTGTTTTTCATAACCAGATGCGAACACAGGACTTGTTGGCCGTGATTGATAATGAAATAACACCCTATCCATTCAAGTAACGTTTCATATCAAAAGTAGACAACCGTGTATTAAACAATTAACATCAAATAATTTTGATGTGTTGTAAGAAAGGGGATAGTAATCATATATTAGTCAGTACTTTATGTAATGTAACGTCTCATTACACGATATTGTCATCATTAGAACAAACTCGGACCATTTTTTATTGCTACTATCTACGTATATAACTAATCTCCCTCTATGTTATTACAAATAATTAGTTAGGAGGGTCAATTTTAAAAGGTCTTTGAATTTTAACAAATATCTTAGTATCATTGCATCATGTGTGTTCAAATATGATGGTTGTATATGTATACTTCTAAACATTGAATTATACATAAAAATAGCTCAAAACTGCAGTGTGGGTAGATTTGTCTAATCTGATTATGAGTATGTATCCAAAAAGTATACACGATATATAATTGTCATTCACCATCATTCTGTTGGAATTAAGTATATATTGTCTTTCAGATACAATGTAATTCATCTTGAATAAAAATGAAACAAGTTAACAGCATATGCAGCATTAAACAATATTTTGATTTTATGGAAATATGTGAAATCATTGAAACGTTTTTCAATATATCTTATAGGCTCTTCATAATATCAAAGGAGAAGGTCCGGTAAGGGCTAATTTTGGCCTAAAATTTGAAGTACATCTGATGAAAGATTTTTGACATTTTTTAAACACTTAATTGTCTACTTCAGTCGATTCAATTAGTTTTTTTTTGAAAGATTTGAATTGATTTGGTGATTAAAGAATCTCAAATTCAAGCTTAAATATGAAAAATCTATCAAATATGCCATTAAACGTAGTTTTTCAGATAGTTTTTGTCTAAAATGAAAGTGGCCGCATTCGTTTTCAGTCTCAACCTTTATATATGTTATATATTATCATCAAGTACAACATATATTTAAATATGAAGACTGAACACAAGTGCGGCCACTTCCATTTTAGACAAAAACCGTCTAAAAATTAGCACAAATGTTAAAATTGTGAAGATTTCAGTAATTTTGCATGCATAATGATGCTAGTACCTGATGCATGTGCATTGTTTGTCAAAAACAGCCAATATTAATGTAGCAAAAGTATTCTTCTTTCCAATAAATAGCGTAAAGTTTACAATTTACCAAATTTGTAAAAATGCTATATTTTTGGGCCAAAAGGGGGTCTTACCGGGTTCTCCTTTAAAAAAGTTTTAACAACTGTCTGATTTTGTCCCCTAGTGAGGGGAAAGAATACATGAGAAATTGGCCGTTTCTCTTTCTTACATCCATTTTATACAATTCTCAGGGAACAAATTGCATACTACTAAATTGTGTACATTTTCAAACGCTAAGAGGAATAATATACTTTAAATATTAAACAAATATAGCTAAATGAATACGACTCCGGTTTCCGTTACATTTAGTTGCAATCTTAAAGATGTGAGCACAGGAGTGTCTAAGATATGACACATAAACTACTGAAACAAATTGTAATAAACTTTTCTTTTTCTTCATATAAGCAGTACTCTGTATTTACAAACTTAAAAATTATTAATTTTGTAATATTTCTATACAATAAATGCAAAATAATTTAAAATATATCTGTATATTTATCGTACATACCTCGTTTGGTGTTTTCAGCTAACATGTGCGTCAGTGATTTGTCATTTTTTTTTTACAAACTGTACATCTTAATTTATGATATACGATTTTTACACTATGATTAATCATGTAATTTCCTTTTATGTTTCCTTAAAAATTAAATCAACTTTTAAATATTATAACGTTTTTAACTATATTGACAAGCTGCAGTTGTAGAACTGCCCATGCCAAATTCATACGAAAATAAGACGTTAATATTTCTGAAGACGGTATAAATCCTTAAGGCAATATTCATACATGCGACAGAACAACGAGGTAACGATCATTCATGACACCTGTCCCTAATTATTCCGAATGTCAGTGTACAAAATTGTACATACAAAAACATACTAAACATTTGTTCTTTATATAACTATATTTGGTGTTCAATATGATAAAATACTATAATGTAAACTGTTACCTACTATAACACAATTAAAATCTTTAAGCTTCAGAAGTATTTTCAAATCTAAATGGACATAAAACTTTTTATGGGAGTGCCTGTCTTGTCCGCCTACTTTTAAAATGTAGAAAAGTTGTAATAAAATCATTCCGAAAAATGAAGAAAAAAAAAACCAACATTTAAATTATTTTTATGTTTTATTCTTTCCTGTCTCTGCATAATAAAAACTATACCATCAACACTGATCCGTAATACGTGAGTTCCTGTAATTAATTGAGTAAAAATGTTTCGAAATACAAACATACATATAAAAAGCACTTTATTACACACACCAAAAGTTAAAAACAACAACACATTGAAAGGCAACAGGGAATTATGTCCAAAGAAGTTTGTTTAAATCTTTGTAAAAATAGCCATTTTAACACTTGGCTTCGATAAGAATATTTTGACTAAATTAAACTGAAGGGCTTTCCCAGCTACTATAAAAATGCGTGTATAGACGTAAGCTATTTTCCCGGGGGATGTTAGGGAAATTAGTAATCAATTTAACATTTTTATCTCGATTCTTACATAGTTTTAGAACATTTTAATATTCAGGGATGTTTTTCAAAATAATGATGATGAATTTGACGCCTTCCTGCAGTGGGTAATCTGTAAAAAATCAAAACAAAAAAAAAACACCATGAACAAACGTCATGGTAACCTACATAAACTAGGAAAAATAAGCTTTAATCTGAAGTATTTGCTGCTAGACATCGACTAGTTAGAACTGGCTTTAGTTTGAGTACATAACATGTAATATTGGTTACTAAACGTGAACTAAGGAGAAGTGGTTTTGGTTTGAGTATATAACATGTAATATTTGCTACTAAACGTGGACTTGGGAGAAGTGGGTTGAGTGCAATATTTGCTACCAGACATGAACTAAGGAAAAGTTAAGAGTACATACAATGTATTATTTGCTATTAGAGGTTGATAAGGTAAAAGAGGTCTTTTATTTGAAAAGATAACAAGTAATTTTTTTTCTGCTAGACGTGGACTGAGGAAAATGACTTAAGTTGAGTATTTTATGTATATGATTTCCAGCAAGACATAGACTAGAGATAAGTGACTTTAGATTGAGTAAATACCATGTAATAATAGCTGCTAGACTAGAACTAGAGGTGTTCGCTGCTAGTCATGGACTAGGAAGAACTGGCTTTAGTTTCGGTGTATAACATTTGCAGTTTGACTTGACTAGGAAGAAGTGGCTTTCATTTTAGATACAACATGTAATGTTTTCTGCTTGACCTGGACAAGGGAAAAAAGTGGCTTTAGTTTGTGTATATAACATGTAACATTTGTCGCGCTAGACTATGACTAGAAAGAATAGGCTTTAGTTTGTGTATAAAACATGCAATGTTTGCTGCTAGCTGTGTACTAAGTAGAAAGGTACTATTTGAGTATATAACATGCAATATTTGCTGCTATACGTGGACTATGGAGAAGTGGGTTAAGTGTAATATTTGCTTACAGACATGATTTAAGGAGAAGTTGCGGTAGTTTGAGTACAAAACATGTATTATTTGATGTTTGAGGTTGACTAGGGAAAAAGGGCTTTAGCTGTATTATTTGCTGTGAGAGGTTGGCTAGGGAGAAGAGGCTTTAGTTTGAAAACATGAAATGTATTATTTGCTGTAAGAGGTTGGCTAGGGAGGAGAGTGTTGTCGTTCGAAAACATAACATGTAAATTTTGCTGCTACACGTGGACTAAGGAAAATGACTTTAGTTTAAGAATTTTATGTGTATAATTTTCAACAAGACATTGACTAGAGAAAAGTGGCTTTAGGTTGAGTAAATACCATGTAATATTGGCTGCTAGACTAGAACTAGGGAATGTTTGGTGATATTCTTGGTCTAGGCAGAAGTGGCTTTAGTTTCAGTGTATAACATTTGCAGCTTGGTAAATACCATGTAATATTTGCTGCTAGACCTGGACTAGGGAGAGTAGGCTTTATAGTTTGAGTTAATAAAATGTAATATTTGCTGCTTGACCTGGACAAGGAAAAAGTGCCTTTAGTTTGAGTATATTACATGTAACATTTGCCACCCTAGACTTAGACTAGAAAGAATTGGTTTTAGTTTGTGTATAAAAAATGCAATGTTTGCTGCTAGATGTGGTCTAAGTAGAAGGGGACTATTTGAGTATATTGCATGCAATATTCGCTGCTAGACAAAGATTTGATAGAGGTAGCTTTAGTGTGAGTATATAGCATGTAATATTTAAGGCTTGACCTGGACTTGGTAGAAGTGGCTTTAGTTCGAGTATATAACATTTAATGATTGCTGCTAGACATAGACTAAGTAGAAGGGTAATGATTAAGTATATAACATGTAATATATGTTGCTAGACATAGCTTTAGTAGAGGTGGCTTCAGTTTGAGTATATAGCATGTAATATGTGATACTAGACCTGAACTAGGAAGAAGTGGTTTTAGTTTAAGTATATAACATGAAGTATTTGCTGCTAGACATGGACTAAGTAGAAGTGACTTTATTTTGAGTATATAGCATCTTATATTTGCTGCTTGACCTGGACTAGGAAGAAGCGGCTTAAGTTTGAGTATATAACAGGTTCTACTTACTGCTAGACGTGGACGATGATTTGGACTAGAAAGAAGTGGCTTTAACCTAAGTATATGACATGTAATATTTGCCACTAAACCTGGACTAGGAAGAAGTGGCTTTAGTTTGAGTATATAGCATGTAATATTTGCCGCTAGACCTGGACTAGGAAGAAGTGGCTTTAGTTTGAGTATATTACAGGTCATATTTACTGCTAGATGTAATATTTGCGGCTAAACTTGGACTTAATAGATGTGGCTTTAGTTTGAGTATAAAACATGTAATATTTGTGGCTTGGGGTTACAAAACCACATTCAATCATATATTGTGTCTTTTTTTTTACTGTAAATGTTGAAGAGTTCTTGTTTACTATAGTCTTTACTTTAATCTATGTTAACTTACACCTATTTCTTATTTAATGGATGAATGTAGATCAAGGATGAAAGATTTTTGTTTGAGTTTTGGTAAAGATGCCAAAGGCAACAATACCACATCTTCTTTTTTTTGTTTTTGTTTGTTGAGAAAGATTATATTGTGGTTATACAGAAAAAACCTAACCACAATTTAATGGGGTGAGATTTTACTTTATATAACCTTTATTGATGACCTGTTAATGATAACGATAATGCACTGGGAATCCAAAGACTATTGAACTTTTTGTTTCCTTCAAAAGAAAAACAATATTTTTTCAGTAACCACATATAATGCGAATCACTTTTTTCTTCAGTTATATAATGGTGAGTTAGAAACTAAAGTTCTTGTTCACATTTGTAAAAAGTTTAAACTTCTGGATTTTCATAATTTCATAAAAATCGGTTGTGTACACTTTGTTCTATCATGCCTGACATTTGGATTTTTTTATGTATAGTGGTAAATTACAGATCAGGCTTCTTGTGTTGTGCTGTTATACAACTGTCCCAGTTTAGGGGTGGGTTTGGTACCCGCAACTATGTTTAACCCTGCCACATTCTGTATGTGCCTGTCCCAAGTCAGGAGCCTGTAATAAGTGGTTATTGTTTGCCTTCATATCACACATAATATATACAACAGCAAACAACAACCACTTCAACAAGTAAATTCTTCAACAAGTGGTTGTCATTTGTTGCTGTATATCATATTTGTTTTTTATGCCCCCGCAACTAGCCAGACACAATAATATCTCAAAGAAAGTCCTATATTGACTTTGTTATAATACAGTTACTTCAGAGTGGAGTGTGGGGGCATCACTTTGTCTAGTCTTTTATTGTTTTGTACATAAATCAGGCTGTAAGTTTTTGTGTTTGAATTGTTTTACACTTTTCATTTTGGTGCCTTTCTAGCTTGCTATGCAGTATGGGTTTTGCTATTTTTGAAGGCTGTATTGTAGCCTATAGTTGCTAACTTCTACATCATTTGGTCTATGGCTGTCAATCATACCACATCTTTTATTTTTATATTGCATTTTGTTCTGGCTAACATTTTGATAGCAGAACGGCTCAAATCCCAATCTAATTTGTTGTAAACCAAGGAATAAACTGTCCGTCCTAGTGGCAGCTTTTTTTCTATACAAGAATAACTGTTCACTCACAACTTAATCAATAAACAGTTTGAATGAAAAACTTAACTTGGAATTCAATAAACTATATGTCACAGTAACCTGAACTGTCAAGTACCGTATTTCACCAAATTGATTTAAACAGCACTGTCCTTGACAGTTTCTAAAAGGTGATTTATAGCATGAATCACACAATCACCGGTAGTCCATGTAAAACTTGTAAAAGACGGTTGTCACTTACAGTTTTGAACATTTATTACATAAAATAAAGGCAACTTGGATGCACAGTCATTTTTGGGGTGTTTATATTGTTTGTATATCTATGAGGACATATACCTAAATTATTATAAATAATGGCATCATGTAACTTGGACATCCATGGACTTTAAATCACTCACTTAAAAAAGTTAACATGGGTAATGATGCAATTGCACCTTCATTTTATCTGAAAACAACAACATGAAAAGTTGTTCAGACAAGTTTCAAACATTATACTTTGAATGCTGATATGTTTCTTTGCTTTTATCTGTATGAAAAAAATATGCCCCGATTCATGTACAATATGAATGCACCAATATATTGAATTAATCATAAGTGCAACATTTAAAACCCACACCATAATGATCATGTGTACTGAGCCTCAATCAAACTAATTTAAATCAACACTTTAACCTGATATGGGGCAGATGAACTACAGAACAAACAAAAATACAAAGATTACTTTATGACAATAATTTATTTTTTAATGCAATTAGTATTCACAATTTAAAAAATCATGTATTTTATACAATCATATTCAACAATATCTTTTAACAGCTATTTAAACATTAAAAATAAATGTAAGCACATATTAAATGTTTCATGTAAAGCAGATTTAAAATCCTCCTTTTCATGAAAAATTTTCTCATATTTTTGTGTCTAACCAAACAAAAGGATTATAGGGTAGGCAATACTAATAATCCTCTATAATATAAACAATTCATCAACAAGCTTCCTCTCTATATAAAATATCACCAAATTTTCTACCAAATTGTATTTATTAAGTAATGACCCAACTATTTACCCTTCTTAAACACATAATAAAGAGAGCAATTTTTACAATTACATTGCAATTTCATCTTTATTTTTCACTTGTGAAAAGATTGAAAATTTAAACTAGAAAATCAATCAAAGCTAAACTTAAAATATAACTTTTTTTTAAATTTGCATATACGTGTGTATACTTCAAACAGTCCATATTGTGCCAGTCAGGTTTACATTCTGTGGTTATAAATTATGTTAATTTCCCAAATGAATTTAATTAACATTATGTGATTCAGTCACACAAAGTGTGTATATAACAAGTATAATCAAAAGCATCCAAATTAATCTAATTCCTTTAGTTTTCAAATAATTTTTTCAATGAAATATCCTTATATTCTGTGATCATTTTACATACAAAAATCAAATTAATGCCCACTACAACATTTACCTTGATTTATATAAACTGTCACCTCACACTTTTTAAGTGCACAGCACAATTTAGAATCTCATGATATATAAATATAAGGAGATGTGACCACGATTGCCAATGAGACATCTATCCACTAAAGTTCAAATGAAGTGGATGTAAGCAATTACAGGCAATCGTTCAGCCTTCAACAATGAGAAAATCCCATACTGTATAGTCGGCTATAAAAGGCCCAAACATGAAAAATATGAAACAATTCAATTGAGAAAAATAACGACCTAATTTATTATAAAACAAATCACAAAAAAACAAATATGACAGACATGAATCAAAGACACCACTGAACTACAGGCTCCTGACTTGGGACAGGCACATAAACATGATAAAGAAAGTGGTGGGGTTAAACATGTATGTGAACACTCAACCCTCAATATCGTACATTCTACATATATATTAAGATGTCAATAGAGTTTAAATCTTTTAAAAGGCTACAGGTGTATAAGAAATGATTTTTAACGAGCAGATACTCTATTCAACACTGGTAGCTTTCACATAATATTATATTGATTTTTTTCACAAACCAAGTTTTACCCTGTTTTATAAAGCATTCCAGTGTTTTTGACGGGTCCTATTTATAGCAAACTGGGATACTACCATGAATGGTAAAAATGCATCTGTTACATACACATTTCTTATAAACTAGGACTGAGTTAAGTATTTTCTTGTTAATAAAATTCTACTCTATTTTCCATTCAGGGTCAATAGAAACAAATTCCGTAAGGAAAGTACCTTAACACTTTCCCTAACCACACTGAAAAATTATAAATCAATCATAACAGGTATTCATAATTCACAAAATGATCTGTTACTACTCCTGATAAAATTTCATATAAAATATCAGCTATAAAAAAAAGAAGTTGACAGAAGATAAGAAACTGTTCATGTTCATAAAATTTTCTATGTCAAAGGGATGTAACTAGGTTGGAATTTCCAATATTTGATACCCCAATCAATCTGTTGTGTAATCACAAGTAAAAAAACATTATTTTGATAATAAAAGTCCATTACTGGTAACTTTCATTGCAATAAAATGACAACAATGTCAGTAGATAAAATTCAGCAATTGAAATAGAAGTCTAATGGACTCTATTTTAGGGTGACAGTCGATCACCGATATAAATATTTGGTTATTAGCATATAACGATTTTTTGTAGGTTTTCTGCTCTTTCTCTCCAAGGAGAATTTGCATTTAATATATTTCTCATGAAACCATAGTTTCTTCCTCTATAGCAAATTAAAACTACCATGTAATAATCTTTGATCTGAAACAATAAGTCTAAATCCGTATTCACAAAATTCTCTGTGACAATGTCACAAGTGGTTTAAATACATTGTATGAAATAGACTTTCATAATTAATTATATTACTCAAATCAAACCTCATCATTCTTAAAATGAACAACTATAAACATAAAATTAATTGGACAGTTCAATGATTATAAAAAACATTAAGACTAGTTTTGTCATTGTCACTTACTACTTCTCTTTAAGATATCACAGACACACATGTTTGCACCAATCTCAACTTATTATTAACCCTCAAATTTAATAATTATCCAATAAATAAATTCATGAAATATTGGCATCAATAAATTAATAAATAAAAAGAATAAATAAGAATATCAGGTCTAAAAAATAATACATTGTGTTGAAAAAAAAAAGAGAAATGGATATGTCTAAAAAACACAAGCATTCTGAGAGTATTGCATGTCGATATATAGTCCCCTACAGGTTAAGAATTCATTGTACAGGAACAAAATGCTAACTTGATCTATAACTTGTCATGGTGTAAACTATATAACAAATATCAAGTCAATATCTTCAAGCATGACGAAAAAAAATGTGGAAAACTGATTATTTGAGTGAATTTTCTAAGTCCAAGGACCATAACTCTGCACAAAATCATCAGACTGGAACAAAATTCGAACTTGATCTGTAACTTGTGATGATAAAACTATATACCAATTATTAAATCAATATCTTCAAGCATAACACAAAAAAAATGCGGAAAACTGATTATTTGAGTGAATTTTCTAAGTCCAAGGACCAAAACTCTGCACACAACCATCGGACCAGAATAAAATTCGAACTTGATCTGTAACTTGGCATGATAAAACTATATACCAATTATTAAATCAATATCTTCAAGCATAACAAAAAAAGTGTGGAAAACTGATTATTTGAGTGAATTTTCTAAGTCCAAGGACCATAACTCTGCACAAAATCATCAGACCGGAACAAAATGCTAACTTGATCTATAACTTGTCATGGTGTAAACTATATAACAAATATCAAGTCAATATCTTCAAGCATGACGAAAAAAAATGTGGAAAACTGATTATTTGAGTGAATTTTCTAAGTCCAAGGACCATAACTCTGCACAAAATCATCAGACTGGAACAAAATTCGAACTTGATCTGTAACTTGTGATGATAAAACTATATACCAATTATTAAATCAATATCTTCAAGCATAACACAAAAAAAATGCGGAAAACTGATTATTTAAGTGAATTTTCTAAGTCCAAGGACCAAAACTCTGCACACAACCATCGGACCAGAATAAAATTCGAACTTGATCTGTAACTTGGCATGATAAAACTATATACCAATTATTAAATCAATATCTTCAAGCATAACAAAAAAAGTGTGGAAAACTGATTATTTGAGTGAATTTTCTAAGTCCAAGGACCATAACTCTGCACAAAATCATCAGACCGGAACAAAATTTGAACTTGATCTGTAACTTGTCATGATAAAACTATATATCAAATTTCAAAACAATATCTTTTAGCATAAAGAAAAAAAGTGTGGAAAACTGATTTGCCGGACAGAAAGACAGAAAGACAGACAGACAGACAGACAGACAGACGGACGGAGTGCAAACCTAAGTCCACTTCGACTTCATCGGTAGGGGACTTAAAATACATTGTGTTGAAAAAAACGAAGAAGAAATGGATATGTTTAAATACATCATTGAGATAGTATCGAATTAATAAAACCAAATATGAAATCTAGAGGTCAACCAATTCTATACCATTTGTCTACCTCTTTGTCTAGAAAAATTGTGCATAAACTTAAAAGTGACCTCCAAAAATCTGCCATCAACAAATAACATAATGTATAAAAACACTGAGATATGTGCAAAACAAAACACTTAAGGGGTTTGATGCTGTATTTCTAGTTTATCATTTGTCATGAGTAATATTTTAAAAATTATCAGTTATTGTCATTGATGACATATAAAAAAAAGTATGACGTTAAAAATATTGTCAATAAATAAAAATATTTATCATTAGTACCAGGATAGGTCATTTCTACTAGTATTATACATATATAAATACAAACATGACTAAATTTCTTCCCTTAATTGACTGAGCTTACACACTAGTATTATTAATATCATCCTGACATTAGTCACATGTTTAGAATGAAATATTAAGTTTAAGGTCAAAAGAGTACATCAAAAGGATTTTAACACAATTCATGTAATTAAAGCAATTAAAATCGACACTAAAATGTATTCACACATGAAGAGACACCATAGACTCTAAAAAAAAAATCAAAATGAATTTTGAGAATTTTTCATTAAGATTTTATGTGGCAATCAATGATATTAAACATCATACATTTTAAAATAAGCAATAAAGTTTGAAGTTCAATATTTTTTTTCATTTTTTTCAATTCAGGAGATAGAAAAAAAAACAGCTCTTGTCCTATTCCTTACATTCAATATGGAAAAATAGTTATAAATGATACAAACAAAAGTATAATTAAAAGTATTGTGATCATTGAATTTGAGATTCTACATACCTAATACCTTAGAATCTGTGAAAATATATGTATGTGTTAAAATAAAAGTAAAAATGGTAGGCATAACATTAAGAAACAGACAATTGACATCACAAACCTGAAAGATTTGCTGAAAAATTTGGCCTTAAAAATCCCAAACATAGTAAACATAGAACAGATAATGTATAAGCCATGAACATGGTGTGTGACAGATGATGATATGCAGTACACCTTATAAATATCCCTGATGGTATGACAATGGTTAAAACTCAAACCAATGTGCAGTGCAGTTGTAGAAAGCTTGTCATGGGAAATTACAATATGAAATTTAGTGAAAATGGTAATGGGAGTGGATATGATTTAAAGGCAGTTAACTTTAACTGTTAACACAATGACTACGGTTCAATATGACAAATTTTTTAAAAGGACATTGTACTCTAAAGGACACCTTCCCAGGTCCCAATCGCATTTTTTTTTTTGTTCAGGTCTATTCCATTAAAATGTATGAGGGAGGGTAGGAAGGGAAGTTTAATTATTGAATGTGGGTCATGGGTCTTTTTTTCAGTATGTGTCTATTACCATTATGCAAAATAATCTAAAAAATGGTTCTTGGTTGTAGGGATATTTTGAAAGTCCCTTCCTACCCTCCCACATACATTTTAACGGAATAGCCCTCACAAATTCAGGGTCAAAACCATAATTTGGTATAAATTTTTGAAAATTCACATCAAAATGAACTTGTATACAAAATTTCAAATTGATGTGACCATAAATTCATAAAACTAATATAACCAAAAATTAAACCTGAAACAGCACAGACTAAAGGAAGAACAGACTAAGGGAAAGACAACCACACAGATAGGAAAATACAATGTCCCCTTTCTATCATATGAAGGGCATAAAAATAACAATATAATTTTCACAAAATAAAAAGATTTCTAATTTTGAAAAACAATTTTTTAAATCAAGTGCAGCAATTTATGTATAATTTTGTGATATCTCTCTGTACAACATATGGAAATATGTATAGAAATGAGAATTCAATGTGAAACTGTCATAATCGCTCCGAAACCATGTACCAGATTAGTTATGTATGTAACCAATTATAATTCTACATCTTACAACTCATCAATTACCATTGTGATGCATAGTTGCATCTTTGGAGTAAGGGTATAATAATGCATATTCCTTTAAAAAATCTTTATTTTCAAATGTGTTTAAAGCAGAAAAAAATCTTGATTACAAAAATGTAAACACAAATGACCTACATTTCCTTATTTCTATACAAACCACATAACAAAGTAAATCCATATTTTTAAGGCTATTCAAGTCCTAATTACTAAGGCAGGATTCAGGTAAACTTCATACAATTTATTAAACACAAGCAACAATTTGAATAGATTTGATCAGTGAAGGAATATCTAAAATCTGGATATCTTCCTCCAAAATATGTTTAATAAAATAAAATAATGTAAAATAGATAAATTAGAATAAACAATGCTGAGAACTATCTCCTTGACAACAAAACACAATAATTCAGCTGTTTCAAGTGTGATTTTCATATAACATTATATACATATGCTAAATTGAAAAAAAAATAAGTTGAAATCATTTCATTTTTTAAAGCAATATAACAAGAACATAAGCAAAACTGAAGATCCCTGATCAAAATTTATGCAAAATTCTAATCTAAAGAGCTAAAACTTAGCCATCATTATCTGGTGATGCAGGTATCCATCCCCATCCACTGCTTTAACTGTTCATATACTGTGAAAACAGTAGCTTGCATAGGTATAATCCTGATATAGTTGATAGACATTCCTCTATACAGTCCTTTACTGATTCCATGTTCTTTGTACACAATAAAAAAGATTCTGTACCAACGACTGAAAACAATAACATTTACAACTTTAATGCTGTCTGGCACATTTTTAACCAATGCAAAATACTGGTGTTAAGTTCTGAATTTTGCTATTGTAATAATATGAATAACAGAAGGAGTTGAGAAATGTAAATGTCAGTTACAACAGAAAAAAAAAAACAACAAACAAACCCCCAAAAAGGACATCTAGTAGATATATGCCAGTGTCAACCTTGTAAGTTGTATGTGGTAACATTTGTCACAGTTATTTTTGCTACTGATTAGATTGTGCACAAAATAGAAGAACAAATTACAGTCATAAAAACTTAGTAAAAGCATTTTTTCTTTTATTCACCACCAGTTTTGAAAGCTTCAATGGTTTGGGTCTCATAAATGTATGAATTTTGGAAACTCATTCTTTAATTCCATTTTTATATTGAATTTCAGTGAAACCTGGGAAAACCAAACCCTGATAAAACTGAATTTCACTTTAAGCCGAACTATTTCCAAAGTCTCATAAAATTTTCCCTACTTATTATTGTTTATTCAACCTGAACAAATCAAACCCTGCCAGTGTTCCAGCTAGGTCGTTTTCACAGGGCGGTCCGCCCGCCCTTTCCTGAGTGCCGCCCTGTGCCCTTTTTACAGTTTGCAGGGCGCCCTGCCTTTTTTGAAGATCGATTGGAATATTATTTTGTTCGTATTGATATGATCAGCCAATTACGAAAATTTACCTGGCGACAAGTATATGACTTTGTTTACGACCCCAAGCTAATCAACGGTTACAACAGGTGTCATAATCTGTTGTTATAGGTAATCCGTTTATTGGATGGGTCATTTAATGATCATCAACATTAATTCATTCAAATAGAATCGGTCAGTCAGCATTTGTCTTTGAACTTGAAGAAATGTTCATACAACTTGGGCACAATTAGCAATGTTTACCGAAGTTTCATGGAGAAAACGTAATTGACAGAACAGGCCTCTACAATAACTTTTTTTTCAACTTGCCCAATAGGACAAGTACACATCAAAACTTACTTGTCCGAATGGAATTGTAACTTGTCCAAAAAAAATCTTAATATTAACCTTTTTTGCATTTTAAGTTGATTCAATGAACATAAGAATAGAATTTGATTTATATCTCTTCATATCCTTTTCAAAAATATGAGTTATGAGTCGAGAACAACTGAATCAAGTCATGTCACAGGATTTAGGTTCTAGTTTTCATCAATGCCAAAGTCTCATCAGACTCTGCACATGAGGCACAGTCTGGTAGGCCTGTCAGTCTACACTCATTTGGTTTGTATCATGGTCTTTCATGTTGGTAAAATATTGATTATTATGATTAATGCCTTACTACAAACAGCTTTGATTTTAATATATCAAAATGTTTATTCAAACGCAATCAAGTATTGTTTTGTCTACATATGATCAAATATGATTCTGTGAATTTTATGGTCATTAATTTCTTCATTTTTTATCTTAAAAAATATTTTTGTTAAATAAAATTTATCATATTTATTATAAGCAACAGAAAAGGGTAGGGAAATGAGGTACTGGTTGGCTTGGTCCAAATGTTTCCTACGGTGCCATGCTGTCTATTAAACATGGAAGGATTGGTTTCCGTGTCGGTGCCGAACTGTTTTGTTACCTTATCTACAAAGCGCATTCTTGATTTCATCTAAGACTATTTTCCGATAATATTACGCGTTTTATCTGTTATAAAGTATCTGTCAAAGAACCAGTTTTAAATTATCGATTGCAAGTAAACATGTCAAATTAATATTTGTTTTTATCTTTTCTTATTTTTTGTTTATTACTTTGTTCATCAAAGTTGGATTTAATTTATTTTCTACATAATGATTTGACTTGGACAACCTTGATCTAGCTTTTACTTGTCCGACCTTTTTTTCCTCTGGTACTGGACAATCGGACAAGCGTTATTGTCGAGCCCTGCAGAAAGTCGAAAACCATTATCAACTCGTTAAAAACATTGCTCTTATTGTTTTCCATGAAATAAATAGCAAATTAAGACGTATTTTTCATTGACTGCCTTCATTTTTTATACGAAAATAACAAAATCGGCCGCCATATTGTTGATGGTATTTACATCTTCTACGTACTTGTTTATTATCCTCCAACGAAGGAGCACACCCAAATAAAGAAAGATAACTCAATCTTATTTTTCCTAGCATTGAGTAACCTACTAAGATATTACAAAATATGTGTTCATATTTCTGGCTTTAGAATTTATATGTTTAGGTGTTTTGAGTTATGGGAAAAGTTAAAGAGGGTCTTAGTAGCAGGGTTGGTAGGGTGCCTTGGTCATCTTTTTCTGTATTTTTATTTTCAATCCGAATTTTCACTGTTCACTATATCCTGACATTGTGCATTTACAGCTGTTTTGTGCTGTATTGCCATTAAGCACAGAAAAGGTAGAAAGGTGAAACTTGTAAAGTGTGTCAGACCATAGAAACAGAATGAAGCAGGACATTTTTCACAAAAATACTGCATATAAAGCTTAACTGTGCCAAGCAATGATTTAAAACTTGTGTCACAAGCTGCTTGATAAGTTTTCAGCCTAAAAAGTAGAAAGATAGTTTTTCTCTGGGCTAATGATGTTGTTCTTGTATATTTATAACCAGTGATTCAATGAACAAACAATGTTTGATTATAATCTTTATTAAAACATGCCCTTTTCATATTATCATATCACGCGTTAAATGCCTTTTTTCAGGATTGGCACCCTGCCCTTTTGAAATCCTAGCTGGAACACTGCCTGCTGATACCAAATTCTGAACGCTTTTTGAAGGCTCGTTAGTGAATGCGTATTATAAGATTACCTTTTAAATCTAAAACAATGAAAGTATTTACAATTATTTACATGAGGGATTAAACAAACACATACTGACAAAGGATCCCGAGGTTATTTGAAGTTTAATTTCATGATAAGCTGTTTTTCTCTAATTCTATGGAAATTTATCCCTTTCCGAACCCATTGTATAAAAAAATTTAATCAACGTGTGGTTGCCGATGATCTCAGAGTATGATTGGATGCATTTAAGGGTCATAACCTTTATCAGCACACTAGATGAATCAAAATATGGCAACAGGTGTTAACGAAATTGACAACTTCATGGAATGTGGAAGGCACTCAAAGGGGATTTTCGTTAAACAAAATATAAAAATTTATTTTTTAATCATTAGAGAAACAGATTCTTACATAGTTACTCGTGGATTATCAGATTTATCCAATCTAGATAGTTAAATCGGACTTCAAATTTGATAATTTAACTATCTTGATTGGATAAATCCGATAATCCACTGGTATCAATGTAAGAATCTATATTTATAATCTAATTAGCTTGTAAATGTACATGTATACAACTCCTAACAAGAAACATAAAATTGAAAATGATAACCATTTTCATAGCCCAGAAAAGGGCAAGAATGGGACTTTCTCTGACTCTTTCATGCAAATTGGAATTAATTTTAAAAGATTCAGAGACAATTTCAAATTATTCACTAAACAATCTTATTTTGAAAATGGAATCGGTAAAAGCTACTGCTTGTGACATTCTCAAGCATAAAGATAAACACAGTGCTCAATGTTTTCATAATTGGGGTTTCCCTTTAGAGAGCCCATCCAATGCAGACGAGTCTGAAGACCCGGATGATGACGTTCCGTTTTCAGATTTAGTTCAACAGTTGAAGTCAAAGGACCAGAGTGTGCAGATAATAGAAACTAGATTTTGATGACAATTAAACTACCAAGTCAACATTTGACTATGATTGGGAATCTGACTTGAACAGTGAAGTTACAGGGGAAAATTTAATTGAATCAGACGATGATGTAGACTAGCCAGACCATTAAGTTTAATGCCTGGATCGGACATAAACCATACCAACATTTTTAATTTGTAAATAAGGAGCTTGACAGATGAACTTGCATTTGATTACTATGTCTATCTGCATCTATAAAAAAATATTTTTCATATATCTCATTTTATTATCTTTAACATTGCAATCAACATGACACAATTGTTGTCTGTTTTGTCACTTGGTGTCCGTCATCACTCAGTCAGCATCAAAATGATTTTAAACTATCAACATCCATATACCTCTTCAATCCCAACACATGTGAAAACCTTAACATAACACCAAGTTCCGAGGGTTTTCAGTTTGTACAGGTTTCACTGTACTTTTTATCTAAATTGCAATTTCTAAACTCCATGACTAAGAATTGAGTTACCAGCTAAGCCATATTTGTGGACATGTTGAAATCAATGTTTAGGGTTGAGATGATAACCTTCCAGTGAAGAATTACAACACATGCCTCAATTTAACTAACGGCTAAACAGAGAGCAGACCTATTTGTCTTTCTAGTGTATCCAAAAAGCGTTTTAATAAGGATTGTATTATCAAAGTTTGTTTTTTCAGTGTTTTCTTGTCTTTCTTAATTCCTTACTTTCATTTCTGAAATTCCTTAGAATTCTAATTGCTTTTATCTACAAATACACAACTGCTGTTCATAACAAACTAAAAGGAAGCTAACTAAAAGTTCTGTGTTTATAATAAACAGTCAAGGACAGATAGATCAGTCATTCCTAAAATCACATAATAGAAAATAATATCATTTACAGAACACTTTCATGTTAAAAAATATTTCAATTGAGATTTAAAAATAACTTGATGAACTATGGTATCAATTTCATTTAATTAAGGCTTCTCAATTTCTCTATGTAGAAAAAAGTAAAATAACAAAAATACTGAACTCCAAGGAAAATTCAAAACGGAAAGTCTCTTATCAAATGGCAAATTCAAAGCTCAAACACATCAAACAAATAGAAAACAACTGTCATATTCCTGACTTTGGTACAGGCATTTCCTTATGTAGAAAATGGTGGATTAAACCATTAGTTTTGATTCATGAACAACAGTTAACACCCTGACCATTTAGCATTGTTAGAATTCATCTATATAATCTCTGAAGTTGTAGTTATGGATCAGTTGACAATAAAGATAATCTACAATCTTCTACATAACATACTTGTTGGTTCATTTAAACATTTCCATACATCTCAATATGATTTTGTTTCACTCTACAGAATACCAGGGTATCTCAGCTTTCTGACATCATAAAAATTTGATATTGAAACTTGAATTAGCAACAACATCTTAATGTTTTGTTAATTTGATAATATACTTACACATTATATTTATGAGATTCTGGCAACATTTCTGACAGCTGTATTTTCCTCTTCACAACATCAAACGGATAGCTGAAAACAAGACAGTAAATTTATCTAGCAAATACTTATCAGAAAAAAAATACAGAACAGACTTTTAAAGACAGCTAGTTGGTTCTAACTGTTCTATTCTTTTTATATATAACTGGGTCTTGAATAGTTTATATAAATAGTTATCATGTCTTTATTTTCACAACCTTTATGATGACATATACTGTCGACCAACCAATATTGTCTATATATGTACTGCATATTTCTTTCACAAAATTTAATGTGGTCAATTCACTTTATCTACAGGTATACATTTATTGAAAATTAAATCTATACCCCAACACTTTCTGTAATTATTTCGTTTTACAAACTAAACATGAAATTTAGTGCTTAACAAATTACATATTAACAATGAGTTCTTATGTATTATTGTATTAATTTTAAAACAATTTGGAATGGCAAATTAAAATTAATATCAATTTTTCATTGAATTTCTAGCACAGTATAATGTATCTCAAAATCTGTGTTTTTTTTTTTCTTCAGTAAAAACAATGTTTTACCCCAATTTTCACACAAAATAATATGCATATCTACATATTATGCACAACAACTATACAAATTAAAGTTTTTGCTTTCACAAAATAAAGTTGACAGACAGATGTATGAGGAGAAAACTATAGGGCTCCTATGTCCTATATGCAGGGTGGGGCCTAAATAAGTTTCTGGTAATTCAAAGTATGTTGAAAGTATTACAAATAAATACAAATATTTGTGGTTGTCATGGGCCTCACTTTATATTTTAAAAGGTCTCTGTTTTCATTCCCCTTATTAACACTATGCAAATCAACTTACGATACAGTCTGACCAATCAGACCAGCTAATCCTCCACAAAGACTTTTACCAGGAATAGTAAGTACAATCCCACCAGTATCCTGAGGACAAGGTTTACCAAATAAGTCTGGGAAATACTCAACACACATTCCCTTTAATGTCTCAAAACTGAAGAATGTTGTACCTGAAATGTAGGGTATAGCTTTAAAAAAAACTCTTTGAATAATAATTTTAATTGTGTTCATGTTTTACTGCAAAAATCAGACAAGCGAAGTCATTATGGGTAAACAAAAACCTTATTAATTCAGGATTATCATATCATGTTATTTTGGAAAACTAAGAAACAATCATTGTTTTATTTATTTTGTTAACAATGTGAAAGAATTCATAGTATGTTATCTGCATGTTGTAACTTAGATGTTGTTATTAACAAATGAGCTGAGTCTGATAGAAATCAACCTTATGCAAATGAATATCAATACATTTGTTAACCTATTTCAGGTTGAAAAAATCTCAATACAATGTGATTGATTTCTCTTTAACACAACCTAGTAAAAGCCCTACTAATGAACATTTTATTATGTTTGGCACAAATAGTTTTAATTAAATTATCAGTATTTTCTAATCTTTTGCTTTGATCTTTTTTGTTATAATTTTTCAGAGCACGCCACTCGAGTGATATGGGTTTTTCTCCGTTGAGTAGAAAGAGATATATGACCTCATGAGCCTACGTCACTGACATTACCTAGGAAAACAGTGATAAACAGATTATCAATGGTCTTTCAAAACAGAGGATGTTTCTCAGCTACATTTCATCTCAGGGCTATCGCCCTTCGAAGAGATTGTAGCTGAGAAACACCCTCTTGTTGGAAAAACTCATACCTGCCAACCTCTGAAACCTTCAAAGAGGGAGATCTCCCCCTCAGCTATGACAGCAGAGGGGGAGATTTTGCGCGAACAACATTTTCAAGTTAAATATATGACCTGTTTACTTATTCATCTACAAAACACCAATAAGAGTTAATAAATATACTCTATTTCTTCAATTCATGGTTATAATCTATACAAGGTGGGTTCTTTTTTTTTTGCCTTTTTCAATACCTCTGGCTCTAAGTCTCATAACATTCCATATTTTGATTTTGTTGTGAGTCTCACACTAAGCATGCTTTCAAACATCATACAGACCACCAGAAGAAACCGAAAAGTTGATTGAACATGATGTGCAAAATGTGTGAAGATTCATTGCCTAGTGAACTTAATCGTAAAAATCAAAAATCTTTCATTCAATCTGCATGACATTTTGATTTGCAGTTATCTATTTCTTCTTTTTTACACTGCTGCTGGGTCCAGAAAAAGACCTCTATCTTGTTGGAGTTGATATAGCAGAAATGAATTTAGATTACTCAAAAATCGAACATAAAAACTACTGACCAAAGTTTTCAAATGATCGCCGATTGTTTATTTATTTCTATTGACAGTAAATGAAAAAGCCAGAGAATTACGAACACAGGTCATTCCAGGTAAAATATCTGAAAGCGGGAGATTATATACTCCCTCGCTGGAGCGTTCCGGCAAGCAGTATATTTCCGTAATTTCCTCGTTTGCGCGGGAGACTCCCGCTCAAAACTGGAGGGTTGGCAGGTATGGTTCAAAAACCATCAATAATCTTAGAAGTATCATCAATTTTTGAACCCTTTTCTTTATTTTCATAATCATATTAAATTTTCAATCACAGTTTATCTGTTAAATTACAGCAGCAATATTTTGAATGATCATAAAGATGAACATGGCTGAGTTTAGTCCCTACTGGTATAGTTGTATCGGGACACTTTTCTGAACATCTTTACAAATCAAGCACCAATTGATGGTACAATTGATATCTAAAATTGGCCATGAACACTTATAAGGAAAACAACAACTTTGTCAATTCTTTTGAATTATACCACATTTTTTTCTTCAGTATTTTAAGTTGTTGGTTTGTACTTATCAATAAAACCTCTACAAATTTTTTTCGGATGTTTTGAGGACATTGTTTTCATTGACCAATATTATAAATCATAATTTTTTATACCATAGAATAAATAACTGCAAACCTGCATAAGGTATCATTCCCATGAGTGTAGGTGTGATGCCTCTATATAGACCCATTATACCATCCTGTTTTACAATACATCCAGCAGCATCAGTCAGTCCAATATACAGATGTTCCCCTGTTACTTGGAAAGCTATTCTGGCCCTGATTATATCCAGTGGGTATGTAACCGACACAGCAGATATTCCTAAAATCATATTTAATGTATGTATTATTCAATAACTTAATCTGATTAGTTATAAAAATAAGGAGATGTGGTATGATTGCCAATGAGAGAACTATCCTCATGACAGATCCAATAGATGTAGAAGTTAACTACTGTAAGTCACCGTATGACCTTCAACAATGAGCAAAACCCATACAGCATAGTAAGCTATAAAAGTCCAATGAAATGACATATGCAAATCAATTTAAACAAGATAACTTATGTACAAAACAATAAATGAGAAAAAAAAACATTTTCTTTTGGTTGTTTGTGTTGTTGGGTTGTTGTCTGATTTACAAATACCTAATACCTCTTTATATCTAAGTGATTTCTCGTGCAAAAAAGCAAACGGACCAATTTTTCAAGGTTCACACAGCATAAGAAACTGCTACTGAAGAAACATACAAATTACCATTCCTTGTTTACATTTCAATTGTCTCTAATAGAGTAAAAGTCAGTGAAACCTTAAAAAATAATAAATTTGTAAACTCGTATTGGACAATTTATCAGGACAATAGAAATTTGGAAAAGATTCTACCACTGCATCATTTTTATACATTATTTCTCTTCTACAGGCAGCTTTCAAATTTAAAATGCAAGGTTTGTCTTCAGTTTTAATAATTTAAAATTAAATTTAAATAAAGATTCAGAGAAACAAAATGTTTTTGGTAACTTCTGTATAAAATATGAGCTTTTTGACATGGTGAGTAACTAGTTTTGATTGGCTGATTAGTTCTTTCACCCAACATCTATCAATTAACATGATGACTTACCTGCCATAGATCCTGCTAAGAATTTCCCTATTTGTGGATAATTATGTAAATACATTTTGACTATCTGCAAAAAATAAAAATTATAGTGCAAAAGAATGGACTAATTACACCAAAAACATATACCAGAATGCAATTCAAAGTAACTGTTTACTACAATACTTTTTTAAAGGTATACATAAATCAAACAGATACAACACATAGGTATTGATTCTGATGGATGAGTCCCTGCCCCCCACCCCCCCCCCCCCCCCCCCCACCCCTCATAATTTTTTTTTCTAAATATAATAAAGGTAAAACTTCATCCAATTTTGTGTCAAAATAAGGTCTTCTAATTTCTAATTCTCAGGTTCTCCCTAACATAAAATCCATGCCTGCATACTGTATTTTGTCAGATACTTTCTGTAAAACATTCTTTATTTGCAGGATAAACATTAAGCTACCTACACTGGAATGTCTAATTCATTTATTCATTTTTGCTAACTATCAGCAACTATAAAAATATGGAATGTTGCTCATCATACTGTTCATCTTATTCTTTGTTATTTTGTCCAACGACCATCTCTCTAGTATCTTTTACAGAAAAGGATATAAAATGGTCTTCTATTTTAACGAGAGTTAAAAATGGAAAGTCTTGATCATAATCATGATTATTATCAAAGGGTAGTTTATTCAAGTAAACGAAAGGATAGTACATGTATTATATATAGTTAAACAATGATATATAATTCAACCAGTTTCATAAAAAACTGAAACCAAAGTTAATTTCTATATGATAAATTGATTAACAATATATCAAAACATAATACAGTGTATAGTATAATGACTTGTCAATTCTTGACCAATAAGCTTTAAACTGTAACAAAACAATTACCATATCGACCCTCTCATTGCACAAAGCTGTTCAAAAGGAATGCCTTCAACAACAAAAGGATTAAAAATTCTCAAGTGTAAGAGTTGTCTATTGTTAAAATGCACAAATGGGGTTGTTCAAATGGTACTTCAAAAATTCTCATAGTAAAGGGACCAAGCTTCCCTTCATCACCTCCTTGTGCTGTTTGCCTTCTTATTTCTTATTTTTTACGTCTCTCCTTTCTTTTTACAGTGCACTGGCCATTTCACAGTTGAGAACGGGCTGACCTTTCAGAGACGAGTCAGATGTGATGATACCAATGCTAGTACTGTGCGACTATTTTCAGTTTTTGAATCTGTCTAAAATAGGAAGTGCACAGCTTCAAGTTTGTGTTATCGCTTGGCAAAGTTTGAATAGTTTTGAAGACAAACTGTAGGAGATGCAGATGACATAAACTATGGTATGTATTTCTAAAGCATTCAATGACAAAATAAATGTGGATAGTGTCCACATGTGGACACAGATGATGCCCCCGCTTGCATATCATATAGTTATAAAGGGACATAACTGAAGAACGGTAAAAGTGACGCTACCCAAATTTGAACTTGAACTGAGTTTTGAGGTAATAAGCATTGTGTGTAAGTCTCATAACATTTGGTTGAGGCTAACTTAAGTAGCGAACAGAAACTAAAAATTCAGCAATTTTTCTATTTGTAAACACGCATAACTCTAGAATGGTTGTGTACAAGTTTTATAACATTTGGTTGAGACAAACTAAAGTTAGAGAATGGAAACGAAAAATTCAGCAATTTTTATGTTTATAAAGGGACATAACTCAAGAATGGTAAAAGTGTTGCCACCAAAATTGGTACTTAATCTGTATTATGTAGTAATAAGCACTGTAAAATTGAGAATGGAAATAGGGAAGGTGTCAAAGAGACAACAACCCGACCATAGATCAGACAACAGCCGAAGGCCACCAATGGGTCTTCAATGCAGCGAGAAACTACCGCACCCAGAGGCGTCCTTCAGCTGGCCCCTAAACAAATATGTATACTAGTTCAGTGATAATGGACGTCATACTAAACTCCAAATTATACACAAGAAACTAAAATTAAAAATGATACAAGACTAACAAAGGCCAGAGGCTCCTGACTTGGGACAGGCTCAAAAATGCGGCGGGGTTAAACATGTTTTTTGAGATCTCAACCCTCCCCCTATACCTCTAGCCAATGTAGAAAAAACAAACGTACAACAGTACGCACAGTAAAACTCAGTTCAAGAGAAGTCCGAGTCCGATGTCAAAATAGGAAACAAAAGAAAATAAACAAAATGACAATAATACATAAATAACAACAGACTACTAGCAGTTACTGACATGCCAGCTCCAGACCTCAATTAAAATGATTGAAAGATTATGTCTTCTTCATATGAATGTGTATAAGTTTCATAAAATTTGGTTGAGGCAAACTAAAGTTAGAAAACGGAAAAAAAAATTTGTACTTGATCTTAGTTTTGTGGTAATGAATATTGTGTATAGGTTTCAAAATGTTTGGTTGGGGCAAACTTAAGTTACAGAATGGATTTTTGCAATCTTTCAATTTATAAAGGGGCATAACTCAATAATGGTTAAAGTAACACTACCCAAATTCAACTTGATCTGTGTTTTATCAGTGGAAGTCAAAATTAAACATTGCATTGTATAAAGCATAGGTTGTAGTTGATTCAACTATAATTATGGACAAAGGAAGATAACTCCAATTTTAAAAATTACTTGATATTTAGAAGAAAATAAAAATTTTGCAATTTTTCCATTTATAAAGGGGCATAACTCTAGAAAGGTTAAAGTGACGCCACCAAAATTCAAACTTGATCTGTGTTTTGTGGTAATAAGCATTGTGTATAAGTTTCATAACATTTGGTTGAGGCAAACTTAAGTTAGAGAACGGAAACTAAACATTTTGCAATTTTTTCCATTTATAAAGGGGCATAACTCTAGAACGGTTAAAGTGATGCCACCAAAATTCAAACTTGATCTGTGTCTTGTGGTAATAAGCATTGTGTATAAGTTTCATAACATTTGGTTGAGGCAAACTCAAGTTAGAGAACGGAAACCAATTTTTGGACGTACGGACGTACGCACGTATGTAGTACGTACGTACGTACAGACGGACAAGGGTAAAACTTAATGCCTCCGCCGCCGTCCGTACGTCCCAAAATTGGTTTCCGTTCTCTAACTTGAGTTTGCCTCAACCAAATGTTATGAAACTTATACAATCAAATGTTATGAAACTTATTACCACAAAAAAAAAGCTAGGTTTTACACATGGGTAAACCTGACAAAAAAAATTAAAATCTGTCTAAAATAGGAGGTGCACATCATCAATCTTTGTGCAATTACTTGGTTATGTTTAAATAATGTAGTAAAACCAAAGGAGTTACACATTACACAAACTAGATACCCTCTATGTGTTAAAATTGGACAGACATAGTTAAGAGTGGACCTGTTACTAGACCTGGTGATACAGGTAATAATACCTCTTTAGATTTCTCATATGCCATGAACTGTACACCTGCATACGGAAAGACTCTGATCATATGGATACCATTTCCTTTGTATAGACCAGAAATATTTTCCTTTAATTTCACTTTCAATAAAGTTGACCAAACACCTATAATAAATTAAAAACAATGTTAAAATTTCCAGCTGACTGAAATTATATTGGGATTATCCTAATATGAATTTATATAGAAATTTTATAGCTGTCAGCTGTATCATCAATTTTTTTAAATTATGATTTTGTTACATAGGCAACACATACCTCTGTGTTAACAATTTATTTCAAGAATAGAAAGATATTCTGTGTTTTTACTTGTTAAGGCAGTTTGTTTACATAGAAGAAAAAGAAAAATGTCATATGATTTTAATTCCTGTGTTAATATCAGTTATATGCAAATAACAGGAATGTCATAAAATGGAGTTCATTGTATTAACACAACTTTTATAGGCAGGTGAATAATACATCTAGCAGTAGTTCAACTGCTAAATGATCTGAATAGGGACTTCAAATATGATGTCCCATATTGAAGAATACAACATGCCATTTTCACTCTTCTTTGAATTAAAGTCAAATGAAACAAGTTTTTGTAATTTTAATGATAAGGAGATTGTTGAACCAATGCATGCATATGTACTAAACCCAGTCACTGTGCACTTTCTTTTACATTTATCATAAAACCATAACATCGAATTGACAAAAAAAAATCACAATTGGTGATTGTTGATTGAAAAAACTTTGGCTGCTAATTAACTTCCGGTTTCCAATCATGACCTTGATAAACAATCAAAACAGAATCATAAACCATGTGAAAAATAAATTTGATGACAGAGCAATGTTAATTTGTTGTTTTTTTATTTTGGTATTTTCCATGGGTTTTCATTTGTTTAATAAACTTTGTCATAAAAACGTACAGTTGTTAAATGATCTGGTGTAATAAAATTTGCCTTTCAGAATCAATTAGCATTATCTCACTTCCACATTTGTTTACCCATTTGTTTACCTTTTCTTTCATCACAGTTTCCCCCTTGCACTTATCCATTGCAGTTGTCACATTTTTAACAAGAGGTCTCATGGTTAAGGTCATTGCATACAGAAAATCTGTCAGCAAATCAGAGTACAAGAGTTCAATAGCATTACATTTCTGAAGATATGTATTAGATCAAGGATTTTCTTTTAAAAGTCAGTCCATGTACACATATTATACAGTAAATTTAGCCCTTTGAGAATATAAAACATATTCAACTTCTTTTTAAATTTGGAGTATCATATGACTTAAAAGAATGACTCTAAAGATTTGTAATTACCTAAATCTTTATAGTGATGGTTGTGAGCCTGAAGCAAGATTTTGATTCTGTCCAGAGGAGCAACTAAAGACTTGGCACAGCAGCCTGCAATACCTGAAAATTAACAGATATACGATTTAATATTTTAGTTGTGTTTAAATAATTCTAAACCGGGATAGTTAATATAAGAAATTATTCAGTCTAATATCACAAAACTTCAAACTTCTTTCATCAATTCAAAATTCTGTTAATGTATTTATTCCCAGAACAAAAAAAAACTCTAATTATAAGTATAGCTTTGGAAAATATATAATTGTGAAGGAAATGAAATCTTTCCCCAGAGTCAGTTGGTGTTTATCTGGCTATTTAAATTTTGGCAAAAGGAACTCTCCCATTGATTTAATAATAGCAGTTGTTCTCTATGGAGTTCATTCAATAGGAACTGACTAATTAGTAATTAGGTTGTACAAAAGATAAACAGCTCCCTACAGATGCACAAATTTAAATTGCCAGGTAAATACCAACTGATTCTGAGAAAGGTTTATTTCCTTCACAATAAAAGAATGTTTAAAACATATATGAATTATTTCAACATTTTTGGACCGGAATCATCCTGAGGTAAATGTGTATGTGAGCTGGTTTTGCCCATTTTTGATTAATAACCTGAAGGTGACAACACATTTCTGTCTTTTTTTTTCTTTCCTGAAAGATTTTAAATTCAATGAACAAAGTGAGGAATACAAGAGTATGTCTGAAAAAAATGAACATATTATATCGACATTAGATGATTTGTGATTGGGAGCACACATTTTATTTGTGTATTTAAAGAAAATGGTATTAAAACCACTTGTTGGTCCCAAATATTTCAAGATCACCAACTGTTATAATTCAATCAATCATAATACTGTATATAATCACATGACACATGCTTCTTATAAAACTTCTCAGATCTAAAAACTGTGAAAGATGTTCTTACCTCCAGCTAGGAAATTCTTTCCTTTCTCCTTCAATTCTTTCCTATCATCTGTCTTCATAGTTGTTGTTTGTAGCTCCGGTAATGCTGCTTGTGCTGTTTTGGTCATCTGGATCTGTCCTCCAAATCATGTCAGATCTACGAATAAAAATACATTGTATACATCTATTTATGACATTACAGGTCAGCATATACATGATATATGTTACAGTGAAGTTTTATAATCAGGGATTATATATGTAGACTCTAAAGTGCGGTGGTACTCTAAAGTGTGATGGTACTCTAAAGTGTGATGGTCATGCTAAAGTGTGATGGTATACGCTAAAGTGCTATGGTGTCAAACGCTAAAGTGGGATTATTTGACAAGCTAAAGTGCGATGGTGTAATGGGAATGAGGTTCAGGCAATAGTTTTTGTTTGTTGCTGTGTTCCTATTAGTCTAGTTTTCCGTTTATTATTATGTTTATAAATCAAGCCGATGTCTTTTTCTTTTGATTTGTTTGACACTGGTCATTGTGTGGCCCTATATAGTTTGCTATGCGGTATGAGCCTAGGCTCATCGTAAAAGGCCGTACAGTTATTAGTTGCATATATCAATGAAATTCGGTCTTGGGTGGATAATTGTCTCATTTTTATATCTAAAGTACGATAGCTGTCAAAAAAGTGTAATGGTTACATTGCAGTAGCTATTATATACTTTATGAACCTGTCTCAAGGCAGGATCCTGTAATTCAGTGGTAGTCGTTTTTTGCTGTATTTCATATTTGTTTCACGTTTTTTGTTTTGTATATAAATCAGGTTTTTAACTGTGGTCTTTTTGTGGCCCATTGGTCTTTATAATATACTATGCGGTGTTAGCCAATGCTCGCTTTAAAAGCATGCGGTTACCTATAGTTGCTTACCATTATGACATTTGGTGTAGCAATTATATTATAATACAACACCTCTGGTCGTTGGGTTACTGTCTAGTTGACGTATATCCATATTTATAACAGAAATGACGAACCATATTGTAAAAAGTGTTTTATAGAATGATTGCATTAGAAAGTAAAAAAAAGTAGACTTTATTTCACGCAAGTTCATAACATGGAATTACAAAATAGGAGGAGCTACTAAATCATATTTGGACAAATTAAATTCCCCAAGGTCCAAATGAGCCATCTCCAGAATCTCTTTTTCCTCTTTAGTTAAATTACATTTTGCAACCTTAACATAAATAGTAGAAATACTAAAATGATTTCAGTATAAATGATCAAATGGTCATGTGTATGATCTTCCTGTATATGCATGTGATATTTGCCACTGTACATTCAACAAACAAAAATTAGTTTACATTACTTTATTCATTTATTTTACCGAACTACTGGAAAATATTATTTTCAAAGTGTTTTATACACAGCGTCACTTTTACGGTAATCCGCTTTATCATATTTGTTGATTTCCATTGTTACTGGGAAAACGCTCCTTAGCATATTGAGGCACCTGACTAAAGCCTGTGCCATTTATTAGCACAGACCATTGCACTTTAGCGTATCAAACCATCGCACATTAGCGTAGACCATCGCACTTTAGTGTGACCATCGCGTTTTAGCGTCCCCATCGCACTTTAGAGTCCCACATATATAATCCCTGAAAATTTTAAGAATTAATTTTACAAATTCCCTGAAATGTTTTCAGGGATTATCAATAATACAAAGATTCTCTGTTTGGTAAAAATAAATCAAATAGATCATATTATAACCTCTTTATGGTTTAAGTGGACATTTTGCATTCCCTGTCCATTTATCAAATCTTATTAAAGTGAATAGTTTTATTCTGGTGATATTATCATGATTATATTTAACTGTGCATGTTTAAACACATTTACTCATTAACAAATAAGTATTTAAAATTGAAATTAAAAATACCAACATAAATGCACAGATTATGTAATTTGCTGTAAAACAAAGAGGATGAAAGTTTACAAACAAGGAGTTCAAACTAAGCAAAGAAGTGCAACTAAACGCCCAGAAACACAAACAGAACACATGCTTGACAGATTGAACACAATTTTTTAGGAGGCTGTGATACCGATTCTGCATGTTGATCGTTTAAACATGATTAAAACCGTTCACTAATTAACGGTACACAAACAAGTATGCAGTTTTAAAATCATTGATTAATTTTTTTTTGCGACATCTGAAAATCGGAAATTCAAAATGGCACGAATTTAGATTGACCATGCAAATCGCAAAAATTTCCCGGTTTACAGTACTAGGTATGAAGCCTCCAGGTGTTCTACCCTCTGAAATATTAAGCTTAATACAAATGGTTTATGCTGTCTCCGCCGGATTGTTATCCCTCTGTCTCACATACTGTGACGAAAGTCACAGGTAAGACAAAAACTGAAATGAAAAAATATCGTCAAAAAGTGTGGGTAAAAAATTATGAACTTATGAATAGACCATTTCATATTACCGACTTTTGACCCGTATATAATTTTTTGACAGGTTACCTTCTCTGTGATAGGACATTCTGGTACTTGGTCTTAAGAGCAACTAAAAGTAAAATCAAACAACCAATCAGTGCAATTTGTGAAAAAATTAAGCTATTAAATTTTTTCTTCAAATTTTACCTCTTGTAAGCTTGATTTAACTTTTTAAGTTGCTCTTAGCTGACGGAGTACCAGAATGTCCTACCACATAGAGGGTGACCATTAACAAATATATGCTCCGGGTTCAAAAGTCGGTAATGTGAAAATGGAAGCAAGACAACTCGCCCTACTTTCCACCAACTGGCCCCACTCTCTACAAACTTGCCCTATTTTCTACCAACTGGCCCCACTTTCTACCAACTTGCACCACTCTGTTTATCAACCCTTCCCCCCCCCCTAATTGAAAAAGAGTTAAGACCAGCTAAATTTAGGCCTGCCAACTCTCCCCACTAACCAAAAGAAGTCATATCCTACTAAATTTAGGCCTGCCAACTCGCCCCACTTATGAACAAGTATGGACACAACATTCAAGCTTGATACAGCACTGAATTTGGATTGTGATTAAATATTTGACACAGCACAGGTTTCTGACACAGAATGAATGTGGTCTAAGAACTTAAGAATTTTTAATTTACCTTTTCAAACCATATCATTATTATTTGCTTTAATATATAAATCAGAAATAACCAATTTAAATTGAAAAAAAAAATCCCCCCCCCCCCAATTTTTTTATTCCCCTTATGATTCATCACCCCCAAACTCAATCCCAGCCTTCCCTTTGTGGTATGGTACCTGCAGTACAATTTCAGAGAGATCCATACACTTGAACACAAGTTATTGTCTGGAAACTAGAAAAATGCTTATTTTTGGCCCCTTATTCCTAAACGTTTTGGGCAATTACCCCCAAACTCAATTCCAGCTTTCCCTTTGTGATATAGAACCTTGTAGTACAATTTCAGAAAGATCCATACACTTACACACAAGTTATTGTCATGAAACTAGGAAAATGCTTGTTTTTTGCCCCTTTTTTTTGCCCCTAATTCCTAATATTTTGAAGCAATTACCCCCAAAATCAATCCCAGCATTCCCTGTGTGATATGGAACCTTGCAGTACAATGTCAGAGAGATCCATACACTAACACACAAGTTATGTCTGGAAGTTACAAAAATGCTTATTTTGGCCCCTTTTTGGCCCCTAATTCTTTAACTGTTGGTACCATAACCCCCAAAATCAATCCCAACCTTCCTTTTGTCGTATTGAACCTTTTGGCAAAATTTCATAGAGATCCATTCACTTAAACTAAAGTTAGAGTGCGAAAACCAATGTGTCTTCGGATGACGACGACGATGACGACGCCAATGTCATACCAATATACGACTTTTCGGTCGTATAAAAAGAGTAAAATACAATGAATTAAGGCCACCAACTCACACCACATATGAAAAGTAGTTCAATACAGATGAATAAAGGTCTGCCAACTCGCCCCACTTTGGAAAAGGATTTTAATCCTGATGACTAAAGGCCTGCAAACTCGCCCCACTTAGGAAGAGGATTTTAATCATGATGACTAAAGGCCTGCCAACTCGCCTCACTTATGAAAAGGAGTTTAATCTTCACAATCAACTTAACTGTAATGCTAAAATAACAATAGACAAATAAAATGCTCCGCTGGGGCGCAGCTTGATACGACCGCAGAGGTCGAACCCTGAACAGTTGGGGCAAGTATGGACACAACATTCAAGCTTGATACAGCACTGAATTTGGATTGTAATTAAATATTTGACACAGCATAGGTTTCTGACACAGAATAAATGTGGTCTAAGAACTTAAAATTTTTTAATTTATCTATTCAAACCATATCATTATTATTTGCTTTTATATATAAATCAGAAATAACCAATTTAAAATGGAAAATTTTAAAGAAAAAAAGGAAAAAAAAAAAAAACCCCAAAATTTTTTGAACCCCCTTATGATTCATCACCCCCAAACTCAATCCCAGCCTTCCCTTTGTGGTATGGTACCTTGCAGTACACATACATGTGATGGACTGTGAAACTAAGATCAGGAGTTTTGGAGATTAGGACTCAGATCAGGATGTTTTTAATCGACATAAATTCTGTCGTAAATGTAACCCTGTGCTGTAGAAATTGTCTGTTAAAGTGTGTTTTCTTCAACTTTCCATCCGAATGTATTATGTTTATAGTACCTTTGTACTTATAAATTTTCTCTATCTTTTTAAACTTTCAACTTGTTCAATCTAACATTCTTCTTTTTCAGTAATTTTTTAGGTCATATCTTTTTTACCATTATTCATTGCAATCAGAACATTTGCTTATCTATCTGCAAGTAGATCTTTTATTTTTATCTTTATGCAAGTAGATTTTTAATGCATGATAAGTAACGCATTCAAACTGTAATCATGGGTCATAGTTATTATATAAATTTCAATTTAAGCCTTGAAAGGAAGTATAGAACCCCCAAATAATTTTCAAATTATTATTTTTTTATTTGTCCTAAAACATTTAAAATCATTTAATTACCATCCTTTTATGATTATTTGTTCAATTTATATTTTATTTATACTATTTAAAGGAAAGTAACTTAAAACAGGATAAATCAAGGGAAGTAACCCAACATTCATTTTAAATAAACAAAGTTTTATTACACAACGGCAGTTTGACACCCAAGGTGACAAGTGCGGCCATATAATTATGCATGTTAATTGATTTACAGGTAAAATATAACTTCAGTAATGTCAGTTACACCAGATATGTTGGGCTGAAATTTTTCATTCATGAAATATTTCATACACGGGATTTTTTTGTCTTCAACGGGAGGTCGGGAGGAGACCCCTGAAAATGGGATTATTGTACTCCCGTCGGGAGGTTCACATGTATGAACTGTACAATTTCAGAGAGATCCATACACTTGAACACAAGTTATTGTCTGGAAACAAGAAAAATGCTTGTTTTTTGGCCCCAAATTCCTAAACATTTAGGGCAATTACCCCCAAACTCAAACCCAGCTTTCCCTTTGTGATATGGAACCTTGCAGTACAATTTCATAAAAATCCATACACTTACACACAAGTTATTGTCCTGAAACTAGAAAAATGCTTGTTTTTTTGCCCCTTTATGGCCCCTAATTCCTCAAATTTCTAGGGAATTACCCCCAAAATCAATCCCAGCCTTCCCTTTGTGGTTTGGTACCTTGCAGTACAATTTCAGAAAGATCCATACACTTGAACACAAGTTATTGTCTGGAAACTAGAAAAATGCTTATTTTTGGCCCCTTTTTGGCCCCTTATTCCTAAACGTTGTGGGCAATTACCCTCAAAATCAATTCCAGCTTTCCCTTTGTGATATGGAACCTTGTAGTACAATTTCATAAAGATCCATACACTTACACACAAGTTATTGTCATGAAACTAGAAAAATGCTTGTTTTTTGTCCCTTTTTGGCCCCTAATTCCTAAAATTTGGAGGCAATTACCCCCAAAATCAATCCCAGCATTCCCTTTGTGATATGGAACCTTGTGGTACAATGTCAGAGAGATCCATACACTAACACACAACTTATTGTCATGAAGCTAGAAAAATGCTTGTTTTTTTTCCCTTTTTGGCCCCTAATTCCTAAAATTTGGAGGCAATTACCCCCAAAATCAATCCCAGCATTCCCTTTGTGATATGGAACCTTATGGTACAATGTCAGAGAGATCCATACACTTACACACAAGTTATTGTCATGAAGCTAGAAAAATGCTTGTTTTTTTCCCCTTTTTGGCCCCTAATTCCTAAAATTTGGAGGCAATTACCCCCTAAATCAATCCCAGCATTCCCTTTGTGATATGGAACCTTGTGGTACAATGTCAGAGAGATCCATTCACTAACACACAACTTATGTCTGGAAGTTACAAAAATGCTTATTTTTGGCCCCTTTTTGGCCCCTAATTCCTTAACTGTTGGTACCATAACCCCCAAAATCAATCCCCACCTTCCTTTTGTGGTATTGAACCTTATGGTAAAATTTCATAGAGATCCATTAACTTAAACTAAAGTTAGATTGCGAAAACCAATGTGTCTTCGGACGACGACGACGACGCCAACGTCATACCAATATACGACCACAAAATTTTTTTGCGGTTGTATAAAAACCAGTTGGCAGACCTTTACTCATCAAGATTAAACCACTTTTCATAAGTGGGGCGAGTTGGTAGGCCTAGATTCAGGATAACTTAATTCTTTTTTATAAGCAAGGCAAGATGGCAGACCTTTATTCATCTGGATTAAACATCTTTTCAATAGTGGGGCGAGTTAGTAGGCCTTAAATTATCGAGATTAAAACTAGCTTTCATAAGTGGGGCAATTTGTTAGGCCCAAATTCAGCGGGATTTAACCCTTTTCATAAGTGTGAGTTGGTCAACATGATTGGTTAATAAATACTTGAATCTTGGTAGAAAGTGTGGCAAGTTGATAGAAAGTTGGGCAAGGTGGTCTGGGCGATTTGACAATGAGGTGAGTTGTCATGGATTCTGTAAAAATAGACTATTGTTCCAATTTAATTTTAAAAATAAATAATATCTCATATCATACCTGCCAACCCTCCCGTTTTGAGCAGGAGTCTCCCGAGCAAACTACGAAATCGGAATGACCCTCATTCGTATTTCTCGTGCTCTTTCATTACATTCAATAGAAATAAACAAACAATCGGCGATCATTTGAAAACTTTGTTCAGTAGTTTTTATGTACAATTTATAAGTAATCGAAAATCCATTTCTGCTACGTCAACTCAAACAAGATGGATATCTTTGTCTAGACCAAGCAGCAGTATAAAAAAGAAGAAAAATAACTGCAAATTTCCAGCAGATTGGATGAAATATTTTCAATTTTTAGAACAAGTTCAATCGGCAATAAATCTTCATTTTGCACATTATTTTCAATCAACTTTTCGCTTGCTTCTGGTGATCTGTACGACTTTTAAAAGAATGCTTAGTGTGAGACTCACAACAAAATCAAAATATGAAATGTTATGGGTATTGTCCTGACTCAGAGGTTTTGAAAAAGGCAAAAAAAAACTTGTATAAAAAACAATGAACTGAAGAAATAAAGTATATGTATTAACTTTCATTGGTGTTTTGTAGATGAATAAATGTACAGTTCATTATTTAGCTTGAAAATGTTGTTCGCGCAAAATTTCCCCCTCAACTGTCATAGCTGAGGGGGAAATCTCCCTCATTGAAGGTTTCAGAGGTTGGTAGGTATGTCTCATATAGATATATCAATATTTAATACTTATATATGAGTGATTTAGCAAAATTAAGACACTACACAGTCCGGCACATTTCAGTGAGTCTGGTAAGACTGTAAGAGACATCATTGTTATTTTAAAAACTAAGTAATATTAAAAATAGAGGACTGTAAAATTGCCAACATACCCAAGGAAATTATTAGGCCTTTTTTATGGTGAATGAAAGATTATTTAGGACTTGTCGAGTTTTTCTGTATATCTATAAGTATACAGGCATGTAAGTATTCATCAAAACTCTTGTTTGGCCCTTGTGAGAAAAAATGATGAATTTACCATTCAATAATATTTTTGTCATTCGAAATCGAAAGTAACCATATGGAAGGACAATGTTTTGTTTCGAATAAAATAAGATAAATGAAAAAAATCTCTATCTTATTTTTTTATTTTATATAGCAAGAATTATGGATCAAGCGACTGATCTATTACTACATAGTAAATCTATTTTTTTCATATTCACGAAGTGATTAAATCCGAAAATATTTCTTTTTCTTGGGGGAAAAAAATAAGTACATAAAATCCGTTCAATTAATTTTTTATTAGCAAATATGAATCTTTCATCGTATAATTAAAAAGGCACTAATTATTTTAAATAAATAAATTATATATTTAGTTATTAACTAATTCCATGGAGGAAAATAGACCAACCGATGTTTCAAAACTCATATTATTTTTCATTAATTTATGTTTTTCAAAATGGCAGATTCAGAAGCAAGACGTGAAGCAAGGAGACGAAAAATCTTAGAAAATGCCGACAAACGAATGAAAAGGCTCACAAATCAATATGAATCGGAAAAAGGTAACTACAGAATAACAACGGAGTGCTTTAATTGTAGCTCTACATACTGAGTAATCGCAGAGCTTTTTGTAAAGATCTTGGTTTATTGGTTTATGACCCATTTTCCAAGACTGGAAGAAATAAATACAGCCATGACATATAGCATGTGGAATTCATTGTAACACCACCAGTTGATAACATCAACGAAATTCGTGACTGTATGAAGATATTCTGGACATTCATAAAGCACAAAAGAAGTGACGGAAAATATGTTATGTAGTCTCTCCTTCTCACCATTGAAAAAAGCGATGCAGGACACGACGTCCATAGGATGTATCCTCCTACCTTGTAAAGATGTATCGGCCATACGACAACATTGTCCATACTTTGTAAAGACGCGTCTGCCATGTTGTTTTTTTTGCGGAAATAAATTTTATTTATAAAGTATTGTGATATGTACACGTATGATGTAGATGGTTATTATAACTTGTAAATGTATTATGCTGTATGTACCGGTACATTATTTGTCATGTTTTTATATGTTATACACTTGGGATACACATTATATATATCATATATAAATGTGCTTTATCTTATAAAATATTTATATTAGAAAATAAATGGATTTTTAATATCTTGCGTAAAAAACAAACTGAAAAAATAAAACAAATAAAAATGAATATCCAAATCGGGAGATTAATTTCTGTCATAAGTTGAAACAATAGGTTAAGTTTTGAAATATAAAACTAAGTAATCAGATAATGATTAATTTTAAAATTTAAGAAGATTTTTAATTGCTTATTATCAGTTTGATTATCATTTCTTTAATGAACATATGGTATTTATTATGATTTTGTCAAGAAATTGTAAAGGAAATACAAAACGAGATCACTATAAAAACAACAGCACCAAAGCTGAGTTCAAGTGGATACAAACATACATTGGGTACTGAAATTCTTGTAACAAGACAAGCTGTTTGAGCAGTCTTTTTGAAGTACAGACCTTGCAGCATAAACGTACATGTACATGTACAGAAGTAAAAATAAATACCGTATTTAGCCGTGTATAGTTCGCAGTTGTGTATAATACGCACCCCTTTTCATCCCTCCAAAATCGTGAAATAAAAAGTAAAAAAAAAAAATTTTTTAATATTTTTTTTAAAATTAAAAAATGTAAAAACAAAAATTAAAAAAAAATCTATTTCACTGTAAAAAAAACTTAAATAGGGAACAATTAAACCATGTATATTATCTTCATTTAAGTCTATTGAAAGATGAAAATAATATAAAAGACTGATTACACAACCAAATTGATTACAGTCGAGCCTCGTTGTGTCGAAGTGAAAGAGATCGGACCAAAGTATTCAATACATCCAAGGTTCGACTCATCCGAGGTCGAGTGTGTCGTCATAAATTTGGAATGCATGAAATACGGTATGAGATTTGTGTAAACTAGATACAATGAACAGTGTGCCTTATTTCAATATGACACTTTATGATTGTGTATTCAATCTCCATTTTTGGTCCTTCATAATAATTAAACACACAAGTACAGATACAATTCATGCACAAATAAAATCAATAGTCTAAACAAATATCTACAAAGGTCAGTCACTATAAATTATGAAATCACTTGCAGAACGAATTAAGTTATGAACGGTCTCTGATGAGCCAGAGGTCGTTTGCTTTATATTAAATTATCATGAATTTATCATAATTGTTCTTATCCTTTTATTTATTGTAATTAATGAGTTTTAAATCTAACAATTCATTTAATCTCGGCTTGGGTCATTTAAATTCATTTTGTTTTTATCTGATGTGAATAATGTTCAACACACTAACATTCCGCTTGAACGATCAACAAAGGTGTTAATTACTGGTCACCATAAACATGTCATTTTAACTGTTATACAAACAAGTATGTTTACTCAGCTTTAATCTCTTTTGAAAATGATTAGGTTACATAAGAAATACATCCGATTTGAATTTTTATCATCAGGTCTGCATCTTTTGAAAATTCTTACTTTCGAACTTCGAGTCATCGGGGTCAATTTACATGAACTTTACATCGACAGAACTAAAAAATTTACTTGACTTAACCGAGTATTCGAATCAACCGAGTTTGACTCATCAGAGGTAATTATGCATTGATCAAACAGGAATTTTACCGGGACCGAGAAATTACTTAGACTCATCCGAGTTTTCGACACAACCGAGTTCAACATAACGAGGTTCAACTGTAATTAAATAATTTTAAAGTCATACACAATAAAATGGTAGAGCTTTCATTATGTAACTAAGATTTATTAATTTTATAAAAGTATATTGAAAGATAAAAATGATGTTCAGTATTGATTGTTCAATCAAATTGTTAAATTTAATAATTTCATTTTAAGCTCACTCATGCAGGACCAGTACTTTGTATATTCAATAATGAAAGAAAAAAATGTTATCAAAAAAAATTACCAATAAAAAAATGTCTTGAATATATACAATAAAGAAGATAAAAAACGATATTAAAAAAAAAATTTTAAATCAAAAACCGTCTATGTTTGTGTATAATATGCACCCCTCTACCAACTTCATATATCGTATTGATCTATACTGATTCTTTCAAACTGGAAAACTTGTACATAATAGATACTACAAAATCATATTTATGTTATAACTTTGAAATAATACTTGTTGTATTATTATATTTTATGTTATAACCACATTGTAATAAATGCTTAAAGTATGGACGATACATCTTTACAAGGTACAAATGTATGGACGATACCTCCTATGGACTATGTGGCGGTATGGCTGACACATCTTATGGACGACGTGGAAGTATGGCCGTTGCATCTCCAAATGGAAAAAAAGATGATCTATCTAAGTACTGTAAATTCAGAAATTATTGCGTGCATTTATTATTGCGATTTTGTCATTTTAGACTAAAATGCAATTTCAATTTTTGCGATATTGAGAAAAATTCTGTTTAATTTATATAAAAAATTTCAAAATGCGAGTTTAAATTATTGCGATTATAATCCTGTCGCATTTTTCGCAATAATAAAAACATCGCAAAAATTTCTGAATTTACAGTATTTCTGCACTCAGTCACAACTTTGACTATTATGTTGTGTGTCGTTGCATGCATGGCTTATGTACAATTAAAAAGAAATAAATTTTTCAGTAATATTACATTACATTGGTGAACAGAAAAAATTCATGTATCTTGGAATTCCTGGTTTGAAAAACTTGTTCTATTACATTACATTCAGACTCTTTGGATAACACCAACAAACCGAGGAGCCTGTACTTCAGTGGTTGTCATTGGTTCATGTCTGTTATATTTGTTTTTTCATTAAATTGTTTTGTTATAAATTAGGCGGTTAGTTTTCACGTTTGAATTGTTTCACAATTTTCATATCCGGGCCTTTTATAGCCTAACTATACAGTATGGGTTTTTCTCATACTAGAAGGCCCTACGGTCGCCTAGAATTGCTTACATTCACTTCATTGTAAATCTGGTGGATAGTTGTCTCATTGGCAATCATACAACATCTCCTTGTTTTTATATTAACCAACAGTTCTAGTCTGCTTTTTCTGAAAGAACAAGTATTTGAAACCAGAAATCCCAAGATACATGTACATGATGTAGATGTGGATCTTCTAATAAAATTTATCCATCCATGCCAGAAGGAAACATCACAGATAATGGAATACTGAAAATACAAAGAATCTAAATCCTCACAAGACAGCTGGTCCAGACCTAATTACATCTAGGGTTCTGAATGAACTTGCTACAGAAGGCTAAGCTAACAAAATAGACAAAAAATAATTGTTTTTAAAGAGCACCTGTATATAGGATATTGACAATTACAAAACTGTATATATTTCATTTATTAAATTGGACTTCATGCATAACACATTTAATCTTATCTCAAAGTTGTGTATCTTTTGTCAGACAAATATTTTACTATTGGGAAGTGGCCAACTGGACCAATAGGGTGTAAACTAATGGAGTGTCAGAATATTGATGAGTTCATTTCATAATTTATTTTGTTTTTTTTTGCTCATCAGAAGTTATTGAAAATAAAACAGATGAAGACAAATTGACCAATACCAGTGCTAATGCTATAAAAGAAGAAAACCTTGCAGCTAAAACTACTGCACCAGAATTGAATCTTAAAGCTACAGGACCAGAAGTGCAGACCAAATCAGAACAACAGAGTGCTGTTCAACAGCAGAATATACAGTCTGAACTCAGGCATAGAGGGACTGTCAAAATACAGAGAAATATAGATAGTCATAATATACAAACACAAGACAGCCAGAAGTCAGTTGTTAAACCTGAAAAATCAGAAACAGATATTAATTTGACCTTAAAGCAGACAGAAGGGTTGAAGATTGCTAGTTTGATTCTGTTGGCAATAGTATGCAGGCTGGTTTTAAAATGTGGCTTTGGACTGTTTTATTTCCAGGTACAAAATTGTACAATATATAATAAGTTAATTAGTGATAGTATCTAGATTGATACAAGTACATGTATGTTGATCAGTACTTTACAGGACAGATAAAGTTGAAAGGTTTTTGGAAAATTATTTGTAAAGGTTAGACTAGTTACATGTACATGTATTCCAATTAATGGAGAACTAATATTATATGGTAAAAATTGTCAAACATGAATAAAGAGATGTGTTTTTTTATGCAAATGACAGGTACCATGCTGGGCTTCGCCAATGTTGCAAATTGCGATTTTTTATTTCATCTGGCGACAAAATACGGCTGCTGGCGATATTTCTAGGGTCAACATTTTCCCATGTCAAAATTTTCATTTCTTGACTGTAATGGTAATATTAACGATTGTCATTTGAATTGGTAAAAGTAAAAAAATTAATTCAAAATTGCCCATTTTCTATTCTTTTTTTTTTTTTATTTAAAAACATTTTCTCTATTCTGTAGCATATACAGACCATAAGCTAATAGATCTTATAAGGACAGGAACATTGACCAATATAGTCATTATGTAAGTCCTTTTAGTCCCTGCTTGGAGACATAAACAATCAAATAAAAACATACGATATGTATGAATCCCTCAAAATCCTAGCTTTAACGATAGTGTAAGTGAACCTGTTTGTTTTGTTCTTTCACAGAAAGGAAGAAAAAACATAATATAACAGAGCAATACATTACATGAAAAATCATTACTTAAAGTTAAATGATGTACAGTGCATAAGAAATTTAAATTGAGCATTGTTTCAATGTTTGTAGAGGAAATAAACACTCTAGCTGCCTCTAAAGTTAGCTCCAATTTTTTCAAACTGGTGACAAAATATAGCAGCTGGTGATTTTTCTGGCTCCAACTTTTTTGGAGCCAGAGCAGCCCCTGAATGAGACAGCAACCAAACTTCACAAAAGACAAAAAGATAAAATACATTTTAATATTGACAAGGATGAATAGGAAAGACAACCTGGAAGGTAGACAATGATAAACATAATAAAAATTAGTCTTAAAAGTAAACAAAAATAAAGCTAAGAAAACAATATCCATAAAAGTAGATAAAATGAAACATATAAGAAAAATCAAACAGTAAAAGTAGACAAAAATAAACATTCTTCGTTTAACATATTTGCTGTGTGTAAGAAAGTTCCCCATGCTTGAGAATCAGTTGTGTATGTTTGTTAAAAATCAGATTTGTAATGCAGTCTACCTGGATTATTTGCCTTTCTTGCAAAGTTGCATGTACATGCATATAATAAATATCTTAATATTTCAATTTTTCATATGTTTGGTAACAACTTGTTTGCAATCACTGTACCACTGCGTTGGTTAACAATGTCAAAACTAAAATACTTCAGCTCCCTATTGATTTTCACAATTTTCCGAGTGGTCATTTCAAAGAAATGGGACTTTAATTTTCAAAAACTTTGCAATTTTTCAAATGTTTCACAGTGCATACAACAGTGCATACAAGCACTACTATCATGACACTTTTATGCATACCTTAAATTATGTTTGTTCGTTCAATAACATGTATACAAATTACCAGGATGGATGGATCATACACTTCTGGCACAGCTGTTAATAATTTAATAACTCATAATTTTGGGTTTTTCTTTTTTTTAGTCGATTTTTCTACCATTTGTTGCACTTGAGATAGGATGGATTCATTATCAGTTGAGAAATGTAAGTTTAATATTTGATAATGCTATTTCATTAGAAATTTTCATTTGGTAATTTCATACCTGGAAGGACAATTTCATTATTCTTCCTCCCTCTGTCAAGAGGGTATGTATTGGTTTATTCATTTATTAGTTTCTTTATCCAACCCACTTAAGTTTTGTGTAATGCCTATTCATGTTTCAAAGACTTTGTGTAAGTAACAACAATGTAATGAGGGAATGCCCAGTGGCAGATTTACCAGGACCACAGGCAACATTTGCTACCCCAGCTTCATCACATCTGATTTAGTACAACTGATTGATTGGTGTGTAAATATTGACAACTATGTGTACTGTAATGTCTGTTTCCAAAGGCTTTTTTTATGTTTATGCAAAGTACATGTCTATGCTGATTCAAATATGAAAACAAAATTTTTCTATTGGTTTTTTATCCAGTATTACAGCAATTACAGGATTTATAATGTAAACGATGACAATTTTACTGTACCAGATTAACCAGATTAACATTGACACTTCTGTTAAGGTAAGAAATTTCCAACCAAAATATTGAATTCTTTAAAATTTCAGAGATGCGCAATTTGTTTTGGTTGCAGTATTTATGTTTCATAATGTTCAAATTCAAACAGGTAAGTTAATTGACTGGTTATTCGAATTATGTATGCATTACAATCAGGCTTTATATTTTTTCAGTCACTGCAAATGCCAAGGAAAAAGAACAAGATGTCTACCATGTTGATGTTGTGCGGGATAAAACCAGACCTTCTAGTTGTTTATGACACCATAATGAGTTATGTTACTACATTTTCTGAAGATTCTGGACTTTTTATTTTTTCATTTTTCATAAGTAATTTATTAGTTTCTTAGGAGATATTTTTACTGTTGCATGTATGTGTTGTGTTCCCTTAGATTCCATTGTTAATTTTTATAGAAATCACATATATTTCATAACAAATTATCAGATATTTATTAAAACAAAGTTAAAAACTTTTATGAAATGTTTTGTTTATGTATTACTATTAAAAACACTTTTAAGAATCATGAATTTACATTTTGAAGCAAATTATTTCTCTTGCTGGTACAGTGTAAAATATAAGAAGAATGTGTCTGAGGACATGAATGCCCCACTTAAGGTTTGCAATTTTCCAAATTAAAAAGGGGCATAACTCTAGAACAGTAAGTGACTCACAACCCAAACTCAAGCTCTGTCTTGGTGTTGTGGTTTATTAGTATTGTGTCTGGGTTTCATAAAATTTGGATTAGACAAACTTAAGTAAGAATGTGGTAACAAAAAATATTTGCAATTTTCCAAGTTATAATAAAGCACAACTCTATAACAGTAAGTCACTCTCTGCCTAAATTTGAACTCTCTGTGAACTTTTGTCAAGCCTGTGACTTTTTTCGCAAAAGCGAGACTTAGTGATCCTACACTCTGTCTGTGTCGTCGGCGGCGGCGTCCACAAATATTCACTCTGTGGTTAAAGTTTTTGAAATTTTAATAACCTTCTTAAACTATCCTGCATTTCAACCAAACTTGGACAGAAGCTTGTTTATGATCATAAGATGGTATCCAGAAGTAAGTTTTGTAAAAAAAAAAATCCTGTTTATCCGTATTTTACTCATGTATGGACTTAGTTTTTCTGCCAGTTAACATAACATTCACTCTGTGGTTAAAGTTTTTCAAATTTTAATAACTTTCTTAAACTATCCTGGATTTGTACCACACTTTGACAGAAGCTTGTTTATGATCAAAAGCTAGTATCTAGAAGAAAATTTTGTAAAAATTTATTTCCTGTTTTTCCGTATATTACTTATAAATGGACTTAAGTTTATTCCAGTTAACATTACGTACAGTCTGCAGTTAAAGTTTTTAAAACATTTATTAGATTCATAAACCTTCTTGAATTTTTACCAAACTTGGACAGAACTTCTAACAATCAAAAGATAGTATCTAGAGGGAAATTTTTAATAATTTTTTCCCCATTTTTGTTGAGCCTGCGACTAACAGCAAAAGTAGGCGAGACACTAGGTTCCGTGGAACCCTTACGAATGATTTTCATAAAATTTTGATGAGGGAAAACTTGTCAGAGTGCAGGAAGGAAAAAATTTGCTCTTCGAGTTATAAAGGAGCATAATGTGACTCACTGCCCAAATTCGAACTCTGTCTACGAGTTTTGGTTCTTAGCCTTGTGTATGAGTTTCATAAATTTTAGATGAGTAAAACTTAAAAGAGTTCAGAAACGAAAATGGGACGGACGGACGGAAATACGGTCAAGGGTAACACTTAATGACCCCTTGCCTTGGTGGAGGCATAAAAAAAGATGTGGTACAATTGTCAGTGAGACAACTATCCATTCAAGACCAAATGGTGTAAATGTAATCAACTGTAGGTCACCATATGACCTTCAATAATGAGCAAAACCTGTCCAGTTGTCAGGTATAAAAGGTTCATGATAGTGAAGCAGCATTTAATCCATTAATTTGTGTGGAATATTTGGTTGATAGACATTTTGATCTTTTTATATCTATCTTATTTCATCAAATCCTTACTCTATTTTGCTGCAATGTTTACTTTTTTTCTAGGTTTCCCTTTACAAAACATGAACTTTGACTAGAAAAATCAGAGAAGGCATTTTGAATCCACAAACAATTTTATAGATTTCAATGTAACATTCAAAGAATTTATTCCATATCATCACTGTGCACCTTCTACTTTAGTTTAAGTTCTGATTTATTGTTGGGGTTTCCCATAGCATAATATACAAAAAGGGAGCTTGAGGTATGAATTCATGAGGTTATCTTAGTCTTTCTAGGTTTCTGAGCAGTAGTGTATATGTTCCATGTAAAAAACCTTGTCAGTGTAGGTTTTATTGTCGAGCCTGCGACTTTTGTCGCAAAAGCGAGACATAGCGATCCTACATTCCGTCATTGGCGTCGGCAGCGGCGTCCACAAATATTAACTATGTGGTTAAAGTTTTTGAAATTTTAATAACTTTCTTAAACTATCCTGGATTTCTATCAAACTTGGACAGAAGCTTGTTTATGATCATAAGATAGTATCCAGAAATTAATTTTGTAAAAAAAAAAATCCTTTTTTTCCGTATTTTACTTATAAATGGACTTAGTTTTTCTGCCAGTTAACATTACATTCACTCTGTGGTTAAAGTTTTTAAAATTTTAATAACTTTCTTAAACTATCCTGGATTTGTACCAAACTTGGACAGAAGCTTGTTTATGATCAAAAGCTAGTATCTAAAATTTATTTCCTGTTTTTCCGTATATTACTTATAAATGGACTCAGTTTTTCTTCCAGTTAACATTACATACAGTCTGCAGTTGAAGTTTTTAAAACATTTATTAAATTCATAAACCATTTCATTAACTGTATCTATTATGTGCATTCCCCCATCACACTGAAAACATAGACAACAGCAAAAGTAGGCGAGACACTGGGTTCCGCGGAACCCTTAAGAATTTCATTACATGGTTGGGTTTTTTGGGTTTTTTTTTTAAATCAGTGTTGGTAACAGATCTTTGCATTGTTGTTCAATTCATTCACACCGTCTCTATTGTTAATACTTTACCTTGACTTTTGGCTTTTGATTATTTGTATTGTCAGGCTGATGTTTTATAGCCATGTACTCAGGATATCTGATTTATACCCCTTCTTTTATCATATGGAGTACTGTACATTCACTACAAACAAATGACCCAGTTGAAGCCAACATCAAAAGTCCTTTTTAACTTAACTTATTTTAAATCAAAAAGACATATAAATGCCAACCTTCCCATACATTGGAGGTAGGACAACTGTGAACATGTATGGATTTCTTTATATTGTGAACCACTTAATTTTAGTTAATTATGTAATTTTTGTCGAGCCTGCGACTTTTGTCGCAGAAAGCTCGACATAGGGATAGTGATCCGGCTTTATATTTTAGAAGGTGGAAGATCTGGATGCTTCATACTTTGTATATGGATGCCTCATGTTACGAAGTTTCCGTAGGTCACATGTCCAATGTCCTTGACCTCATTTTCATGGTTCAGTGACTACTTGAAAAAAAAGTTAAGATTTTTTGTAATGTTAAATTCTGTCTTATTATAAGTAAAAGGATAACTATATTTGGTATGTGCGTACCTTACAAGGTCCTCATGTCTGTCAGACAGTTTTCACTTGACCTCAACCTCATTTCATGGATCAGTGAAAAAGGTTAAGTTTTAGTGGTCAAGTCCATATCTCAGATACTATAAGCAATAGGTCTAGTGTATTCAGTGTATGAAAAGACTGTAAGGTGTACATTTCCAACTGGCAGGTGTCATCTGACCTTGACCTCATTTTCATGGTTCAGTGGTTATAGTTAAGTTTTTGTGTTTTGGTCTGTTTTTCTTATACTGTATGTAATAGGTCTACTATATTTGGTGTATGGAATGATTGTAAGGTGTACATGTCTAGCTGGCAGGTGTCATTTGACCTTGACCTCATTTTCATGGTTCAGTGGTCAAAGTTAAGATTTTGTGTTTTGGTCTTTTTTATACCCCACGCAACGGGTTGCGGAGGGTATAATGTTTTTGACCCGTCCGTCCGTCCGTCAGTCCTGTTTCTTGTCATTGCAACTCCTCTCAAACCACCCAACAGAATTTCACGAAACCTTTTTAGATAATAAGGACATACTATGTAGTTGTGCATATCGACAGGAAATTGCGATTCAATTTTTTTTCTAGGAGTTAAGCTCCTTTGAACTTATTTACTTTAATGTACTACTGCAACAGTTTGTCATTGCAACTCCTCTCAAACCACACAACAGAATTTCATGAAACCTTTTCAGATAATAAGGACATACTATGTAGATGTGCATATCGACAGGAAATTACGATTCAATTTTTTTTCCAGGAGTTACGCCCCTTTGAACTTATTTGCCCAATATACTACTGCAACCTTTTGTCATCGCAACTCCTCTCAAACCACACAACAGAATTTCATGAAACCTTTTCAGATAATAAGGACATACTACGTAGATGTGCATATCGACAAGAAATTACGATTCAATTTTTTTTCCAGGAGTTATGCCCCTTTGAACTTATTTGCCCAATATACTACTGCAACCTTTTGTCATCGCAACTCCTCTCAAATCACACAACAGAATTTCATGAAACCTTTTCAGATAATAAGGACATACTACGTAGATGTGCATATCGACAGGAAATTACGATTCAATTTTTTTTCCAGGAGTTACGCCCCTATGAACTTATTTGCCCAATATACTACTGCAACCTTTTGTCATCGCAACTCCTCTCAAACCACACAACAGAATTTCATGAAACTGTGTAGATAATAAGGACATACTATGTAGATGTGCATATTGACAGGAAATTACGATTCAATTTTTTTTCCAGGAGTTACACCCCTTTGAACTTATTTGCCCAATATACTACTGCAACCTTTTGTCATCGCAACTCCTCTCAAACCACACAACAGAATTTCATGAAACCTTTTCAGATAATAAGGACATACTACGTAGATGTGCATATCGACAGGAAATTACGATTCAATTTTTTTTCCAGGAGTTACACCCCTATGAACTTATTTGCCCAATATACTACTGCAACCTTTTGTCATCGCAACTCCTCTCAAACCACACAACAGAATTTCATGAAACTGTGTAGATAATAAGGACATACTATGTAGATGTGCATATTGACAGGAAATTATGATTCAATTTTTTTTTCTTACACTTTTATTTCTCCAATGGCAATGTGGGGACGTGGGGTATGTGAGTGCGCTCACTAAGGTTCTTTTATTTCTAATACTATATGCAATAGTTCAACTATACTTGGTGCATGGAAATATTTTATGATCTATATGTCAGTCATGCAGGTTTTTTTTACCTTGATCTCATTTTCAAGATTCATTGCTCAGTGTTAAGTTTTTATACGACCGCAAAAAAATTTTTGTGGTCGTATATTGGTATGACGTTGGCGTCGTCGTCGTCCGGCGTCGTCCGAAGACACATTGGTTTTCGCACTCTAACTTTAGTTTA